GGAATTTCGGGACAAGAATACCCAGTGAAACTGTTCTCAAAGTGGAAAAGACAATTTTTAGAAAGACACGAAAAAAAAGACGCAATTTTACTGACCGCGCGCTCGTATACGGTACGCCATTATTTGCGGCAAATCTGAAAGTATAAGGAAATTTCCGGGTCTCCACACGCCGCGTTTCAATGAGGTATCCTGACATCGGATTTTCCATGCCACGGGTTAAGTCCGAATCGGTACGAATAAAGTTCCTGACACTCGGTGGACACGTCGAGTGTCTTGGAACACGGTACGTCCGGGTATGTTCGTATTATCGAAGAATACGGGTCCGTATCGTATGATTTCAGCACCGCAATACGCTTTATTTCACACAGTAGTAGATCTTGAAGCTCTTCCAACGACGACGTGGGAAACTGGAGAAATAACAGCAACGAAAAATTATATTTTAGCGTAGAATGGATGGATGACAATTCTGCTCATGTGACTGAGCGGGGTCAAGCGACCCAGATGTGGCAACATTAAAGAGGGAATACTACATGCTGAAACACGACAACGACTTAAAAGAGGATCGATATCCTTTTCCGTGAGTGAAATATATTTATTTTTTGGACGGTAGTCGTTAATCTGTAATATTAATCTGTGATATAATAATAATATTAATCTGTAGTATAACTTACACAACATGTCGTTTTAAAACGATCTCTGTTTAAAATCATATATTTCGTATTTCTCGATTAAACGCCGGGTTTTCAAGGTGGAGTTTTACCTAAGCCCCTAAAGCATTTATTTGAGGTATAAAAAGCTGCGAATGTAATGGAAAGGTATATGACTGTAAAAAATAATGTATAGAAACATTTTTTATATAAATAACCCTAGGGGCTGTCTCTGCCGTTCATGGAAACTTGATTTAGGCGCGACAACCTTTTTTTTAAGTTCTCCTCTGTAACCTCTCCATCACTTGTATGGACTTAAGTTTAAGGGAGATTTTTTATATTGTCAGGAGTCAAACGTCTTAATAAAAAATGATACATTTCAGAAAGTAGAGTACTGTAAACCAGTGTGCATTGAAAGTGTGCTGGATTGAAAATGTCTGTAGTCTCACTATTTAGTTTTCGTTGCAGTCCCTGGAGGACAACTGCACAGATACTGTCTTGTACAGTACACCTTCAAGAGTGGCCAGGAACATCCTATTCCGAAAATGCCTCAAGGGAATTCCAAGAAAAAAAAGATGCCATATGTTCGCACAAGAGATCAGCTGAAAATTGTCGCAGGGGAAATGAAACCTAAAGAAGCCCTCCATCACGTAATAAACAGATGGCCTTGGTGGTCTAAAATCCTGTGTGGGATTAGGTCAGGTCCCGCGAAATCGACAGCAAATAAAAGATATGGCAAGGCGTAAAGCTATCAGCAAAGGAAGTTACCCTACAAACATGTCAGGCGCAGGAAGACCCTCTGACCCGTGGTATATGTTACTAAATAAGAGCAAGATCCAAGGAAGGGACCCAAAGACTGCATTTATTTGTGAGTCAGAGTTGGAGCTGAGCCTTTTTGCGTCGTGGGAACGAACAGACAGCTGGATGATCTGAAGCGATTCTGCTGTAATCCGGTGGAGTATTGGCCTTTAACTGTGGACCCAACGTTTGATTTTGGTCCATACAATGTCACACCGCTCTCATACCAGCATCTCATAGTTCTTCGCAGGGAAGATGGTAAACACCCAACAATGATTGGCCCAGTGCTTCTACACGAAAAGAAGACACAATCCACGTATTCGCTCTTTAGTGGGACCCTGAAGTCTCTTGAAACTGAAGAATCTAATGGCTTTCGGGACAGATGACGAAAAGGTGTTGGGTTTTAACGAAACCTACGAAAGAGCTACTCGTCTGCTTTGCGAAATCCACCTTCACAAAAATATAGACACAAACTTTGTGTCTATGGACATTAAAGGAGAGAGTAAGCAGAGTATAATGGATAATATTTTTGGAAGAAAGATTGGCAGCATTTTTGAGAGTGGACTGTCAGAAGCAGGAAGTGCAGAACAATTTATTGGCCTATTTGAAAGTCTGGAGGAAAAGTGATCATCGCTCCACTCAAATGGAAAAGCCTTCCAAGCTTGGTTTGGCTCGAAAAAAGCCGAAGGATTCATACGCAGCGTTATTAGTACCGTCCGTCAGAGAGCTGGCCTCGGTTGCCCACCAGACAAATTCACAACCAATCGATCTGAACGCAAAAACGGTGTCCTTCAGGACTGCGTAAAGGGTGAACGCGGAACTGCCAAAATTGACGAATACACCCTAGTAAAGACCCTCGAGAAATTAGTGAATAGCCTGGGGCAAGAAATGGAGTTGGCTGTATTGGACAAAGGAGAGTACCAACTTCGTCCAGAGTTCCGCCACCTAGTTGTCACAGGCGACAAATGGGCCAAGATGACAAACGACCAGAGAAAAGAAGCCCTCTCGCGCGTTCACCACCTTGGTCTTCAAGAAACTTCTCCTAACAGTGTAGCCTCTGTGAACAAAAAGTTAGTGGAAGGTGAGTCTGCTGTTTTCCAGCAGATTCTTTCTGCTGAGGTAGACTGGATTATCCCAGACGTTTTATAGCTCATTGCGCACAAAGGAGAAGCATTGTTAAAGGAAGGAAAAGTAACAGAGTTACTGGCAGCCTCAGCATAAGACACCCTCATCATTCCCTCAAAATCAAAGCCCACGAAGCCGCATATCATCATTGTAAGAAACATTGAGACGTCCCACGCGAGAACAATTCCGTAACGAGAGATATTGCTTTGTTTGTACAGTGCAGAAGTGATTTTGTTGATTGACGGACACGCGAGCCAAGTAATATAATCACATGTACATAATAGATTTTGATCAGTACCTTTTTGAAGCGAAGACGAGTGGTTATGCGAAGTTACGAAGTTTAGGTTTTTACGATACGAATTAGATGTTGTTGTAGTAAGTACGAATCAATAAAAGGAATCAAGAAATTACGTCTCGAAGTTTACAATAATCGTCGTGTACCCTAACGGAAAGGTAGCCTGTAAGGACTGCCAAGGGTACTCCGCGTCCTATTTGCGTGCTCATGCTGTCGCAGCGTCATTAAAAAGAGGAACCCTTGAGACATATTTGAAGTGGCTGGTGGCTAACAAGCGTAAGACTGGTAGGCTTAACTACAGCAAAGCCATCACCTTTGGAATGCCAGCTGGAAGAGGCAGGAAGGTAGAACGACAGCCAAGAAGCAGACGCTGCAAACAAACAACCAGTATGGCGCTCCCACGAAACCCCTTGCCACCCGCGCCAAGTATTGGGGCAAATGAATGTGAAAACTACCCGGATGTTGCATAATTACATGAATTGTTTCTCGCACCGTGCCAGCCAAGTGTTGCCACTCATCAAGCACAGCTGAGTCAATTGTACCCAGCTGTGTATAATCCACCAGGCTTTCCTTTCAATGGAGGACGTTTTCATAATCCATACGCGTCAACATTTCAAGCTCACACACCACAAGCTCGTTTCCAAGCGGCACCCCCTCATCGGTCCTTGTCTATTCCATCAGGACCATCGGCAGCAGCAGGAGCGTGGCACTCGGGATTGTCGCCGCATTCATATTACCGCGTGGCCTTGCCCAAAAGTATGAAAAATTGCTATGGTTGCGGCGACAATTTTTCCGAAAAATTTCGTCAGCCACCACACAACACCGTGGTCAAGCACTTCGACCATCGGGTGGTACGCAAGGACGAGAGCACAGGAGCGTTGGTGCACAACGCAGACTTTGCCAACACTTATTACCATCCCGGTCCTGTACATATCATGAGAAAAAACCCTGTTTTTGACGGCCGTGTACATATCGACCTCAGCACCTACCACTCCCTTGACGAAGGCCAGAGGGAAATGCTAAAAGCCTTTGGACTGATTGTGAATGTCGTTTTATTCACAATAATTCTACAAGCATTGAATTATTATATTTACCTTTTCGTTACAGTTCTCTATGTCTACAGAAAACACTGCAGGATTGTACGATTTAGCAATGAAAATGCAATGATGTATGGCTCGGACGGATTATTAATATAACTATATTAATAATATTAATAATTGATTACCTATTTCCACACTCCGCATTTTCAACACTCCGCACTCCGCGTTTTCCCCCTGACCTCTTGTTTGCGATATCAGAACAAGTCGCACAAGCAAAACAGCTTGATATCACACCACAGCTTACAATGCACTTTGATGGGTTTCCAGGTCACGTCCTCTTGATCTATTGAAAGCTATATGCATTTATGTTTTTAACCTTTGGATTACATTTGGATTACTGTGGTACATAATCGGGAAATTAAAAGAAAATGCGCTCTGGCACATGTCATATCAAAATTGGACTTCATTGCCGCAATTTTCAGTCTTTGCTTTAGCCATTTGCACGAACTCCTGTCGCCAGTAAATTGATAGACACAAGGTATCTCGAAACCATATCCTGTCCCTCTGTTAACTTTTTTTCCAATCACTTCTAAATGCCCAGAGTTTGCTCCTCGCTTCAAAGATTTTGTCACCGCACACGCCCTTAATCTCGGTACATTTTCAGTAACTTCATCATTAGCTGTCGCTTGGTTTGGATGAACATCAATCTTGCGCTCTGTGTGGTCTGCATTTCCTGCGATACCAGCTTTCTCTCGCACTACAGCCACAGCACATCTTCGATGTTGTTTGGTTCACGCTTAAGTTGTCTTTTCTCACCAAACTCAGGTTCCCATATGTCCATATAAGCATGATAGCAACGCACAAAAGATACCACTTTGATACTGTCACCACTGCGATCCATATTTCGTTGGTGATAAAGTTCACGAAGAATCACGCACAAAGATCAAACAGTGCGTGACGTGCCACGTGAATTGGAAATGAGCCAATCATTAGAAATAAATTCCGAAATTAAACAGTCGAGCTCAATCGAGTCTATTGATTGAGTTTAGTTCGTTAGGATTCTATCCTTAGTAAACAGGGCAAAGTTTACGAAACTTGGCACCTCCGACGGGACAATTCTGAAGGAAAACAGTTAGGACCAAATTGAGTGAGTATAATTTTGCTTCCTGAATTTTCTCGACGATATGGAGGTGACAGTGGAAACTTTGGAAATCAAAGTTACGTAACTCGACATGACAGTGGCAAAGACGAACGCCGTTTTAGAAGCAGGGAAGCCCGAAGCAATTGAGAGGCAGCTTGCGAGTCTTAGGGCCATAACAGCAGAAATTGATCGGATGCGACTCCACGTAGAAGCCAAAATATTAGCGGCCAAAGAGGAGATCACCGAGATTCAAACGTGGGACGACCACCTGGACGCGAAGTTTGAAGAAGCAGACAACGAAGTTGTGAAAGTACGCAAGTGACTGTATGATCGAAAAAAGGAAGCAGAAGTTCTCGCTCAAGAAGAGAAACTGCAATTCGAGGAAAACTTCACAAAACCAAGCTGGAATTCCAAATGGAGCTCCAGGCTACGCAGACTAGCCAACACCCGCTTCACACCCACACGTCAGCGACATCCAAGCTACGTTACCGAAACTGGTGATATCGAAATTTGACGGCACATTCATGGACTGGCCACGATTTTGGGGACAGTTTACCGAAACCATCGATAAAACAAGCGTCGCATCGATAACGAAATTCTCCTACCTACGAGAACCGCTCGACTCCAAAGTAAAACGAACAATAGAGGCGTTACCCTTCAAGTCACCGGGATAAAATCGCGCGAAGAGCATCCTAACAGAAAAGAACGGTAAAGAGTCCGAGATCGTGAAAGCATACAGTAGAGAAATTTTGGAAATCCCCTCATTACCAAACGCGAATCCAAAGAAAATTATCGAATTTAGCGAAAAATTAACGTATTGCGTGCTGGCTTTGCAGACGCTAAAGAAACTCGCAAGTCAATGGGGTGGTGTCCATGATGCTAGACAAATTGCCAGCCACCCATGGGGATCTCTTTCAAACGGATCCAGATTGGAAGAACTGGGATTTCGCTAGTCTTTCCTAAGCAATTCGACTGTGGGTGAGGCGGAAACCGGCGGAAACAAACGAACTGAGTGCGAACAAGAGCAATCGGCCAAAGATATACACGCTCAACCAAGAAGTATCATGCGCGTCGAGAACATCCCGGACCTCGTGGTTGCGTGGTCACTCGTGGTCACTCGTAGTTTTTGTATTGCCATCAGGCATGATCATGTTCCAGTTATGCTTCAGGACAGGACATTCTCTGGAAAAATGAAACTTGTATGACTAAATAATGATTCTATTTGTACTTAATATAAATCTTTAAAAAATATGTTTTGCAAATCAAACGTTGTTATTACATAGGGCGATAGCGCTTTCATTTTTCGAGTGTTTTATATGGTATAGAAAACTAGAAAAACGAATGTTTATCTAAATTTTACTATGGTACATTTCTGACGTTTTATAAGAATAATAACAGCCACTTTCTTCTGTCCTCAAGGTGGCCGTTTTGGAAAGGTTCAACTGTATGTGTTCGAGTATAGGATTCAACCGTCACAGTTGTTCAATAAAGCGATAGCGCTTTTATTTTTCGAGTGTTTTATATGGTATAGAAAACTAGAAAAACGAATGTTTATGTTAATTTCACTAAGGTAAATTTCTGACGTTTTATAAGAATAATAACAGCCACTTTCTTCTGTCCTCAAGGTGGCTGTTGTGGAAAGGTTCAACTGTATGTGTTTGAGTATTAGGATTCGACCATCACAGTTGTTCAATAACTGTTATCTTGAAGATTTATGTTTTGTTCCCACCTCCAACTCCAAATTTAATTAAACTTTGATGCATTTCTTTCCCATTTTCAGCATTTGTTCATGATGGTCTAAAGACTGGACAAATGAGCACTAATCTTCAAACTGATTTTATAAGGGAAAGGTATATTACCATCCTCCACTACACCAGGCCCTCCATCAAAGCAAAGAGTTCACACAGCAAAACTCATTGTGGGAAAGTATCCCTCCCGAGGGTGTAAGAAAATCTTAGACACTTCGAGCACTACACCAGGTGCCCCACCAAAGCAGAGATAGTTCACATAGCCAAACTTATCGTGGGAAATTATCCTTCCATAGGGGATAAGAAAACCCTGTACACCTCAAGCGCTACATCAGGTGCCCCACCAAAGTAGAGAGAGTTCACATAGCCAAACTTATTGTGGGAAAAGTATCCCTGCAGAGTGGATACGAAATCTTAGACAACACAAGTACATGGAATATTTATTTGGCGCACTTCTTATCCTTCTTCTGCTTTAGAGATAACTAACATCACCTGATGTATACCGGTTTATGGTATGATTTGAAGTTTAAGTGCTCTTTTCAAACTAAACTCTTTCTAGCTGGTGTGTTTCTTTTACACAGTCTCCTCCTTGCAATTTTGGGGTTAATTAAAGGTTAAAATCGTAAATGCATTTAAAAACTAAAGCAACCAAAGACCACAACAGCAGACAACAATGGGAATAACAAAAAGGAAGAAGCAATTGACATCCTCAAGAACTGCAAATCTACCCGTAAAAGAGATTGCCTTCCCTATCTGGATAAAGTTATGGAACATACCTCCAGAAGAGCACAAAGAGTAGACAGCCCCTGCCCAATAAGAGAGGTGTTGGAAAACAACATGTAACCTTCCCTTCAACAGCATGTGCAAGCAATTACACCAAGAAGTAACAAAATTAATAAAAAGACTATCAATGGAGAAGGCAAAATGGTGTAAATACTGGCAACTACTCCAGTCGATGCGGCATGAAACTGCGAGATGAAAGGATCTGTTTAATCTGCTTTTTTGCTTTACTGCATCAGGTTACTTTTTAATTTTCACTATTTTTCTATTCATATATTCCTTATTTTATGTCCCTACTGATCTTATATATTACTTCCTTTCATATTTATTCTTAGTTAGCTGGTAATAAGTAATACCAGTGTACATGTAACTCATGTTTTCCCTGAATATCGGGGATATATGCATGTATACAAATATAGGCCACATAGAGTACCGTGCTTTGTTAATATACATTCAATAACTTAATGAACAATAATCATTACTGAAAGATATAATTGTTCATTAAGTACGTGTAACTACGAAAACTTCTCAGTAATTATTTCAAGGGGTAACTCAAAGTTGTTTAGAACTACGGCTCTTTCCTTCCCTTAAGACAGCTAAAACAAATGCAGCAAAAATAAAAAAAGAGAAAAAAAAGTAAAGCAGGAATGGGACATGGAAAAGAAAGAAATGGAAGTTTTTTGACATTATCAACATCTGCACATCCCTAAACCAAACCATCAAAGCTGGCATGAGAATAGGCGCCTTGGAGAATACAGGTACGGACCACTACAGAAACCAGCGCCGTGACTCTACTAATGGAGACCCTGTAATACGTCCCTGAGAAGAAACGAGCTGTCAGTGGACCAGCTATGTTGGCCGTTGATGAGGAGTTGGTGGAATTCGTTATCATTCTACATGTGCCTAAATGTTTCAATGCACCAGGCGACTTATGGCTTGAGAACTAGAGGGTGACTGCCACTAATATTTGAAAGGTCATTGTGACGATATAACGGGAGAATATGGCTGCTGGAGAAGAATTCAATGATGCTGTTCTGCTCATCGCCGGGAGTGAAATTGACAAAGTTGTGTATTTTAATCTGGGATCCATAAAAATCAAACACATCAAAGAAACCTGACAATTGCATAACCTCTCAAGCTTATCTTCCCTCCATTGGGTTGTTAGGGATTGGATACCGAATCCCTCCGCCCTTTTCTTCATAAGAAAGCTCCGTTAGCTACTGAGCACGCTGGGGAAGAAAAGGACTTTAAGATTTCCTGTAACTCTAAGGTGTGCCACAATACGAGTCGAAAGACAAGGTTTCATTGAGTTTTACCCTCTTCTTCTTCTTCTTCTCAAGAAAGGTAGATTGAGCCTCCATTTGGTTTTCAGAGAAAGGACGTAGAAAATACGAAGTACTCTGAACAAGAGAAGCACTTTGAAGTTTCCTGTAACTCTGAGGTGGAACACAATGGAACGTTTGTGTTTTACAATCCTTTACTTTTCAAGAAAGGTAAATGAAGCCTTCATTTGGGCTTTAGGTAATGGATGCAGAAAATATGAAGTACTCTGAACAAGAGAAGGACGTTAGCGTTGCCTGCAACTCCGAGGTATGGGAGGATATTGGTCAGGACACAATGGCACATTATATTTATGTTCCGTAATCTACTCTTCAAGAAAGGTAGATTGAGCCTTCATTTGCTTTTCAAGGAGCGGATGAAGAAAATACGGAGTACACTAAACAAGAGAAGGGCGATGAAGTTTCCTGTAACTCCGAAGTGTGCGAGGATATTGTTCAAACACAATGGAAGGGTTGTGTTTTATACTCTTCTACTTGCCCGGAAAGGCAGATTAAACTTCCATTTGGGTTTTAGGCAATGGATGTAGAAAATACGGAGTACTCCAAACAAAAGAAGGACATTGGTGTTTCCTGTAACTCCGGAGCTTGAGAGAGCGAGGCGCCACCACAAAAGGCGAAAGGACACTGACCTGAAGGAGAACACAAAAACAGCCACAGACACACAAGAAGCACCACCAAGCACAGACCTACAAGCACCACAGAGTACAGACCTACAAGCACAACCAAGCACAGACAGACAGACAACTCCAGGCAGAGACTTTGATTTTACAATGTATGTTTTAAGTAGTGTTTCTGTTCTTAAAATTGGCTCGCTCAGCTTTGTTGACTCGTGTAGTTCACCTTTTATTATTAGTCGTATTTTAAAGTCTAATCTCGGGAGCAGTGTTTAAGTTGCAGGTGTTCGTTGTCTGTGTGATGGGGGTAAGGTTTTGTCTGTTTTGTGTCATTTCAAGTGACTGTCGACTTTTCATTTTGAGTGTTCGTTCCTGTAACAGTTCTGCGTTTTGTTGGTCAAGTGTGTCCAGTGAAGTTAGTAAATATGCATTCGTGGTCAAACTCATGTTTGTTTATCACAAGAAAAGAACTTTGGAAATGTTTTCTATCTGAGAGAGTTGCGTCGTCATGCCTTGGGGGCTCAAATGCGCCAAGCTGTGCTGAGTGGCATTTCTCTTAATGCCACTCGAATTAAGACTTTATTATAAGGACATTTACTGTACTATATATACCTACCATACATATTACTTATTCACCTATTTGTTCTTATTTACCTGGTATCATTTAGTATCAGTGTACATTTAACTCATGTTATTCCCTGTATATCAGGGATTTATGCATATATTTAAGTATATGTCACACAAAGTACCATTCTTTTTCAACATACATTTAAAAACCAAATGAATAATAATAATTACTGAAAGATAAAATTCATGGAAAAAACAAGGACAGCAGAGAGTTACACGCTGTTTTTTCTTTTCCCTCTCTGAAATGTGAATGTTGTACAATAAAAATAATAAAGTTTATTCCATTACAAGGTTTTTAACTTCAAGGTGTCTTCTAAAAATATTTCAGTTCACGTATCTGTCCGGAGTTTCATCTTTTGGAGTCAATGAATAGTAAAGATCCTTGCAAATTTCAATGACCACTGGACCCCAGATAACAGCAAGAAAACAAGAACTAGTCTGTTACTCTTTAAGGAAAAAATATTTTGATAATAAAAATAACAAAATCAAAAGGGTGAAAACTTGAAAGCTAAAATCATACTGCTGCGAGTTGTTTCTTTCAACCCACCCCCTGTCCTTGCCATTGACAAGGCATCCAAAGAAAGACCTTCATGTGCTAACTTCGGAGCCATCTTGAGCAAAAATTTTGCCAGTTGGAAAGTAAGACTGCTGCATTTTCAACTTAAAGGTACCAGAAATTTTGTAGAGGAGAAAAAAGTGATGCAACATCATCAAATGGCACCTTGAACTCTATGAAGTAAACGGAGGAGTACACTCTCTCGAAAAAATATAAAATATAACCAAAGATAAATTCATCTTTAACACCATCTACCTATACACAATGCTCACAAACTCAATGCTCCCATGAGGGGCTTACCAAAAAGTTGACAGGTACATTTCTATTACCTAATAGACAGTGCAATGCAATGAAGAGAAGAGCACCAGAATTGTACAAGTACATGTAAATGTAAGTAGGCCAGTTTCCTTTCTGTAGGTCATATAATTTGTAAGTTTTTTTTATTTTATTACTTCTTTCCTATTTATTCTTGTATTTGTTCACTTAGTTTTCTATTAGCAATTGTAGCAGGTTCCAATCAGCATTTGCTGCCATCATTTATGAACCTGCTTTAACAAATAAATTATTGTGTATGGATGGATGGATGCATGCATGTAATTCTTTAAATTTGGAACCACAGAGATCATTTCTCCAATTGGCTCGATTAAACTGTTCATATATCCAAAACAAGAACACGGCCTTTGGAAAGTTGGGAAAAAGAAAAAGGGGCATTCTCCATCATGGCAACCTTCCAATTAAGTCCATGGGTTCACCTAGGGATAACTTTTCCCATGGCAAGAAATTGAGGACAGTCAGTGGTCAAAGAATCATGTTTCACCCTAATGCGCCTGCATGGAAGGTTCCATTATAATTTCAAAAAATGTCAAATTTTTTCCTTTTTTTAAGGTGCTGAATACTTTAAGCAAGGCAGATTTTTATTCAGAAAGCTGGACGAAAAGAAAATCAAGTAGATTTTATGAAGTAGAATGAGTGGCATCAAGGAGAGTAAAACAAGAAAAGGCAAGCATATTGTATGTCTTGATATCCCTTTATCCTATGGTTTTTACTTTACTTCATGCAATCGTGAGGTGTTTGATCTCAATTAATGTAATTATCATTATCTTATTATTACTTAGAACAAATATTTTATTAAATGGAAGGGCTATTTGAGCCTAGAAAACTCATGGGAGCCTGCAGAAAATATGAACTCGCTCGCTTTGAGATAAGTTCTGTGACCACAAGCTATATTATTTGATCATCACCTAGCTTTTGCTTGAAGAGTGAGGATAGTTATTGTAGATACGAATTTGATGAAAGTCCTTTCGCTTTGCTGATAGAAAAAAGCTGCTTTTATTTCTTGGCATGTAGTAATATGGGTCTTATGGCTATTCATGTGTAGATTTATTAGTACACAAAATATTTTTTACTCATTTCTAGGTCATTTTACAACCCTAAGATGACCACAGATGAAATTAAAGTTGCTGGTGATGCTCTACATTGTAGCATTTTAGACCACCTAAAATCAAAAAGCTCACTGCACGCTGTCATTGCTTTGAAGCATGCTGACTTTAATTTTCTTTTTGAATGCAGAGGATGCAAAATCAATTATGGTGCTCATAAGGCATTTGACCAACCTCTCATAAGGAATTTGATCATTCCCTTTTAATAGCATCACCAGTATTAATGATTGTCAAAGGTTTATAGAAGCCTGTGCTTGCATCCAAAGGTTTTACTCCTCTTGCTTCCCATGGCATGTGGCAAACTCAGTAACCATCTATGGAATACTTTTAGAGTTCTTTTAGAGATGAGAGAGTCTATTCCCATTTATAAAGCTTTAACAAAAATCTGGCTCCACACAGAGCTGGTGTTTTTGTCTTAATGTTTTCTTTAACTCCACAAGTACCAAAGGGAACTTCATCTGCCCCAGGGAAGCTGCTAATGCGCTATTAGAGTGACAGAATTCTTATGGTCTTTAATCTTATGGTTTTTAATCTAGAATAACACCAAATTTATGCTGAAAGACTTGTATTTGATATAATGTAAATAATATTCTTTTAACATTCAATTATTGCTATTTTGATTCAGCAAATTACTTCCCAAATCTAGAGTTACTTTGTGATATTTACACTTCAGTTTAAGCATCAATTTTCTTCCTGAAGCTCAGGTTACAAAGAATATTTTACTTAAACGAGGAAGGATATAATTGATATAAAATTACCCTATTGAGGTTTTGCTTGCTATTTAAGTATCTAACAATAACATACTCTGGTAGTGAGAGAGCTTGTTTGGCACACTCTGTTTTTTTTATGTATACAATATATGTATGTACTTGTATATAATAATATGTGTCCAAATGTACGAATTGATTTTAAAAAGTTAGTGAGAAATTTTCTCCTTGAGAAAATAAGGAGAATTAGCCAAATTAACTATTTCAGAGGCACAATGTGAGGCAATTCTGAAAGAGGTCATGGAATAGTTCTACATGTAAGTGGAGTTCAACCTCATGACCCCCAAATGCTTGGTCTAAAAAGTAGCAGGCAGGCAATTTACAGAACCATCACCTGGTTCTAAGCAACGATATCTTGTAGACTGTAAGGAAGGAACATTTTTTGGATGCCATGTTTACCACTGATATGCAAGAGCTACTTGTCACAGAAACCAATAGCTACCATGAGCAGCAAGTGGCAGCTGAACTCAGCAAACACAAGAAAAAGTGGACTCCTGTCACACAGGAATGCATTCATCAGCACTATGATTTACATAGGCATTGTAAAGTTGCTGCATGTATGAGCCCACATGTACTAGAACACAGACAACCACCTCCATAAAGAAATGTGTCAACTCTATTATGACTCAGATGCACTTTTTGCAATAATGGAAGTACCTTCACTGAGTGAACAATGCTAGAGACCTCCTCAGGGAGGACCCTGATTTTAATAAAATTTATCGTGTCAGGCAATTTTCAAATTGTATTTTGTGAAATTCTCAGATTGTATAGACTTGACTGGGAGGCTTTAACTGATAAGATAATGGTTCTTCAAGAAGGGAGAATCTTATTCAAGCAGTATATAAAGAACAAGCCTGTGAGGTAAGGAATCAAACAATGGGTGCTTTTTGAAGCCAATAAAAGCTATGTCTTTAATTTTCAATTCTACCTTGTTCAAGAAGACAGGCAAGAGGAAGAGCACTTGTGCCTACAGTATAAGGAGTTTATGGGCAAAGTTGATTTGGTGGATCAAATTCAGCAGATCTTTAAAGTTATACACAAGTCAAACAAAGCCTGAAAAAAGTTTTCTATTATGGGCTTGAAGTGTGTGTGTGCTAAATTCCTTCACCATTTTGAAGAGAATAAAGCTGACATGCCAAGAACTCTTTTATTTTAGAATTGCCATTGTGCACCATTTTTTAGAAGGGAAGAGTTTTCCTGCTGGCCATCCACTTTCCAAGCCTCCTTCTGTAAAGGATGCTAGGAGACTTAACCAGCAGTACTATTAAATGTCTGTAGAAGAAGACAGGAGAGACTGTGTTGTGTGTGCTAGGGTTGTTTCTGGCCAAAAACGTGAGCAGAAACTTCAAGAACAAGACAAACACAGTGTCCATCACCGCAACCTCTCTGTAGAGAAATTGTGGGTAAGGCAGTACTTATTGGTGGAGTACTAGCCCTAGGTATGCCCTCTTTCTCTTAAAAGCGAAGGAATACTACAGAGCCTTGTGAACTGTTTTTTTTTTCCCTTTGCCTTCACTTGTGACGGTTCCTATATAAAATTATTGTAATTTTCATACACCTGTACCTCCTATTTATGGCTCTTTGTGCCATTTATGGTCACTTTTTTAATGATTTCAAGTGAAGCTAGCAAGTTGTCACTCAAGGAATATTGCATACCCTCTTATTATTTAAAATTGATCAGCTGCATATTGACAGACAACATAAGGATAACTTTGTTGCATTGAAGATAACTGGACAGAGCAAAAAGTCTTTAGTTCCTGAAATAATCTACTTTTGCAAAATACAAAATTTATGCTCATGAGTATGAAAACGCCCTATCTTCAAAGGGGTTGTGAAACTAAAGTCACACTCTATAGATCTGATCAAGATCTATATATCGTTTGTTTAAAAGACTTCCATGATGATTCTGGATTCTAACAAAGTTTCTAATCCTTATTTAATGATTTCTGAAATTACTCTACTTTTTAGAAGATTTGGAATTGAAACTCTTTCCAGAAGAGCTCTTAACCACCAAGAATTCTGATCTCTTCTCAAGATATTCAAATGTCAAGCAATCTCACCAGAAGAATTCCCTTCTATGTGATCTTGTTGCAAGAAGATAAAATCTTCTTGCCAAAATTGCAATCAAATTAATTCTTGTCCAGAAAATTTCGTTTTTAATCAAAGAAAATTGTGAATAGGGGAATGGAGAAAGAGAAGCGACCAAAAACGAATTTCTCTTCCCCTTTTCAATACATTCATTGGAAAGAAATTTACACTAATTTAAGAATATCTTTCATTTAACACCAAAGTTTAGAAATACAGTGAAATTAATCAAAAGTTATGGCAAAAACACTGATGAGAGTAGATTCTTAGATCTTTAGAGTGAAAGGGTTAAAACTTAAGTCACTAAGAAATAAAATTATTGAAGGGAAAAAATGTTGGTTACTCGAAAAAAACTCGTATGATGAATGTGCAGAGACAAAATTGAATACTCAGTGATTACCTGAAATTTAATTGCTATCAATTCAATTTTCATGCTTAGGTTAAATGTTAAGTTCTCATTTGGATGGTAATTATCGTCATGAGAAAACAGAGCTCACCTCATCGCTGCTATCCACGAACAATCCAAATATTGTCTTTCCTTGTGAGTTCTAGGAGAGGACTCTCCACTACAGCACGTCCTTACGACAAAGGGAAGCGTCTCATAGTTCCTGCTTAGACACCTGAAATGGCAAAGAAACGAATTCCATCCTTTTGTCGCTCTTTCTTGGTTTTTCGGGGACACCTTGAGGCTGAGGTGGCAGTTACAGTAGCAACTTGTCAGATTTCACAACACACACCTCCTGTCCTGCCCTAAAAAACGTCACAACCGTCTTTTTGGCCATCTTGTGCTTGCATTTTTCGTAGCAGGAAGGCGAACATGGCCTGCAGGTAGCCAAAAGTATCGATCGAGTTCACTGGACAACTTTAGAAGCCGCATGGCTCCTCGAAATGCTGTAGTGTTCGCTCGGAGAGTGTAATCACGTAGCTATGTAACCTGGCCTTTTCAGCCCCGCATTGCTACTTTCCAGTACGGCCTGGGACCGACAATGAGAAACAAATGCACTAATACACTTTGTAAATAAAGAAACAAAGATTTTTTTTTCACGCAAAGGAAATGAAAGAGACTGATCAAACAGGATTTGAGTCTGAGTGACAGTGAATTACGTCTGCTCGTGTCACTGTTTCGCTTTAGAATCCATAGCAAACAGTATATACCGATTACAATAGCGGTAACGTATAACTTGTTTTTTCAAAGTTACAGGTGTAACAATATTGCGTGACACTGTCACGACCTCGTGGTCCGCTGACGACATCTGTTTTCTTATATTAAATATATCTTGTTGGTCCGACATCTTGGTTTTGTATGTGTTCTCCTCTACATTGCCCATTCTGGCTTGTTACAACAGGTGTCGATATTTTTCATCCGTGTAAACCACCATTTTGATTGACATTCTCATTATGCGCCATCGGCCTAAAGAGTCATGCAATTTTTCTCATCATTTGAGATTTCTCCTGCATGATCCTGGCCTAATCCTTTCCGAAAAAGATCCCACTACTTCTAAAAGATGCATAATAATTTCTTCTGAGTGACACAAAACCTTTAATTTTTGTCTTTATATACCGGTATAAAAGATTAGTTTCAGGCTGACCTGCCTGGCCAAGCGTGGCTTTTAAGAGAGGCGAACCTAAGGGGTAAATCTTTATTCGGATGAAGTCTATCTATTACCATTCTCAAGTTATATTTAGGACTATATAGACACTCTAAAAAAACGACATGGTTCGAAAATCTAGCATAAAACTTCTTATTAAAGACTGGATCATTAGATAATGCAATTCCAGAGTCTATATTGGCCTAGCTATCATGGGTTATGAACCACTATACCATACGTGTGTCTGAAAAAGAGTTGATCCCGAAGAGTGTTTGTACATTGTAATATTCCATTTGTTTTTACAAAACCAAGTTGGAAAGATTTATCTATATTTTGGAGCATTTTTAATGAAGCAATTATTCCACTCGCGCTTGTTGGATATGAGATGATTATAGCCAACACAGCCCTACGTGCCTCGTTGGCTAACCATCGTCTCATATCCACCAAGCGCGAATGGAGTAATCGTTTATTAATTAGAACTTAAGTGGCCATTTGATGACTTTAATCAGTTTGAATTTGCTTTGATACGTCTTTTTTGAGTGGTGCAGGACTACTCCGGTTTTTCAGTCTACGTTAAGATATTCAAGGTTAACATGACAATTACTTAACAAAATAATGATCAACGCTTCATAACGTTGCATATGTATTCAGTCATTTTTGAAAAAGTTATAAAATTGCATTATTGACGAAGAAGGACTCAAGTTCACGATTTGACCAGAAGAGACAACAAGGGCGGAAATACTGATGAGTTAGGGAAGACAAAGAGTAGCTCAACTGTCCTCTTAACGCGTAGCCAAGGCAAGGGTATATCCTACTGAACTTTCCGAAAGCACCCCGACACGTCGTCCACGCCCCTGCTTTCGCACATCGAAGCTTCTCTTTTGAAATTTGGTTTGGTTGAATAAAATGGTTCTACCTCCTTCAGGTGTTGTTATCATAATTTTGGGTAGATGATACCGATGTGGGCTTGCTACAGCTGCTTGCAGAATAGTTTGTGGCTGATTTGGATGATTCATAGACTCTCGTGTCTCAGTTTTTGCTAACTCTTCGATACCTTCCCCTAATACTAAGTGTTGGACACTGCTACTTCCGGAGAAATCTTTCTTACGAATTGTGGTGGTCTGTCTCCTATTGATAGCATTGGTGTCCTCTGACTTGTTTCGATGTTCTTCCTGCTTTCGTGCGGCTCTTCGAACAATGTTAACAAATACTTTCAGAAACCTTCCATCAGCTCTTGCAAAAATTAGTGAGCTAACTGCATATTTCAGGTAGGTGAACGATTGACAGATGACAATGGCGTTTGAACAACGTACCTCTGCTTTAACATATACGATGGAAAATGCCATATAGGGCAGGTATGAAAAACAAAAAACCAGAATAATAAGGATCACCGTCCAGGAAATGTCTCTCCCCTTTAAATACTTCTGGTTCCTCCTCGTTCGTGAAGAACTGGTACCAACATCATTGAAGATACTCTTAATCAGTTTTCTTATTTTAAGAAAATAATAGATATTTGAAGAGACGGAAATTACCAAAGCTATGAATAATACAGATCGAATAATCGTAAGAAATATGGGCCCTTTGTCTAGCGGAACATAGGGAATAAAGTGTTTGCCTTTGATGACAAATATTGCAGAGATTCCAACACCAGGCATTGCAGCAAGTGTTAACACCATCGATATTCTTTTGGTTGAAAGATAAGCCTGCCTATTTAAGGCTCTTCTTAGGGTGTCATGCAAATCAATGCTTAGCAAGAAGAAGGACGTAATGTAGCCCCAAAAGAGGAATGAACCAAGAGCTGCTTGTGCAAGTAATAAGTTTCGTCGATGAAACTCGGCAGGAGATGCCACCATTGTGCTTAAGGCCAACGGGATGTCTATTGCACAACCAAAAAATCCTATAGAAGCAAGGCTGGTCAGAATCGTATTCGTGGTCTTTCTCTTGAAGTCACTCCTAAATCGTAGAACTGTAACAACAATGGTGTTAGCAGTAATGCCAATCGCAGCCAAGAGAAAAAGGAAGACTCCCAAGAATATTCTGGCTGATGTAGAGATCTCCTTCTCCATTTAGTTACTCCCAGACTGAGTGGAGGATGAATTTCTTGAGGCTGAATTTCCTGTCGCTATCTTCTCTCAGGTTAACGCGTGCTTCTAAAAGCCATGAGACATTAATTACCTTCTTTAAATGATCTAAGACAGAAATCTAAAAGAAAGCCAAGAGCGAAGTGATGAGTAAATTGTAAGTGAGGCGCAGTCCAATATTGTTAAATGATAAAATTACAATTATGGGTAATCTACAATATCGTAAGGGTTTCCTGTATTGGTGTTGGAAAGAAAAGGAATGTAAATGTTATATTATTTTAAGTCATTTAATGTAAATTATAAAAAAGGGTAGGTTGATTACTTCGTACTCCTTCTTGGTGGTCTTATCTTAAAGGTCGAGTTTGATCACGTTCTTCTTGTGAGTTTGGACACGTTCTCCTTGTGAGTTTAATCACTTTTTCTTCGTTGTGATCGTGAGGTTGACATGGAACTCATGATAAGCCATGTTCTTAAATAATTTAATTTGTTAGTCCAGGAAGAGTAAATCTCCCTGGTAATAGGTCGTGTTCGACACCTTCGTGTTCCCAGAGGTAATTTAAGGGTAAACAGGTGATACCCCTCATGTTTCGCAACCAAAAGCAATTTGGAGGCGGTACTTGTGAGCGTCTTTCTTCTTTAACTCTTGTGACCAAGATGTTGTTATGTAACAATCTTTAAAGGTGATTTTCTCTTAAGATACACTTTCAGGTATAAATAATACTCTGAACCAAGGTTATTTGTAATTTTTATATTGTCGATCTCGTTTCTGTTCTAGCCGATCTCAACCGTAAAGATATGAAAATTAAGGAAGAAATTGATTTTGTAACTGCGTAGACAACCCTAAGGTGCATACTCAGTATGTGGGAACTATAATACGTAGTCAAGCGTGATTCGCTAGTTGAGATGGTACGATGACGACACAAGAAGATTGACGGCTTAGAAATGTCATCCGCAGTGTCACCTTTATAAGCAGAGACTCTAGTTTTCCCTTATGTATTGAAGCTAGTCCCCGTTAGAACAACTTGAGAAGGAAAGAAAATAAAGAAGGATCAACCAAACCAACAATGAGTGTTGGAGAAATTAATTCTAACAATATTATACTTACTAAACATCCAAATACATGCCGGTCAAACAATTGTTACATAAAATTTTCGCTGCCGTGAACCATCGAGGCTGTTTCAGAAATTTGCTAATTGATCTGATTCCCATGTAACGTAATTGAAAATAAGTTTCTTGATAATCAGTGAGAGATTGTTGTTGCACGCCAGCCTCAGAGAGAACTTGAGTTTCTTGAACAATCCGAAAAAAGCCTTGAAATCATGCATAACTGTGAAATTTTTTTTCTCTAACTTTTTAGGTGGAATTGTCGATGTGCACAGTTTTGATAAACGTATGTTTTCCTGTAGACTTGATTTCCGTATATAGATAAAGCTGGAAAAGCGCTTTTTAATCATTGTTTCAACAAAAATCGCAAGCTTAACATCCACACTTTTTTCCATAATTTTCTTGATTAGGGCAAAGGTAGAAGAAAAACCTTTGAACTTGGAGTCGTGCAGGTTAAAACGGGATTCATTACGTAATCTTCGCAAAATTTGCATAAAAACCCACAATTTTCGGTTTCTCTGTCGATCCGTTATGTAAATAATAGAATGACAGAAACTGTGGCCTTCACTTTTTTTCTGTCGAATACAAAACAGTTTCTTTAAATACATGTGGTTTTGAAACCAGCAGATCAAACCGAGAGATAGAATTTTCGGAATCAATTTTTGTAGACATATTTATTGTAAATAGAATAAGAGAAATGGTAAGTTTTGAGCTCGGTAAAGAAATGAAGAAAGATGTTTTTCGTCTTGTCACGAGCGTGAGACAAAGAAGAAATTTTGAGTCTCCATGAGGAATCGAACCTCAGACCTTCGGAATCCTCGCTTTCATGCTCTACTACTGAGCCACAGAGACTCTACGCTGAGCGAGGTCTATCACGAAGTTCACATGACACGCTTCCTGTATACTGCTAGGATCAGCAATGTCGACAGCGGCATGTTTGTGAATAGAACAAAAGAAATGGTAGGTTTTGAGCTCGGTAAAGAAATAGAGAAAGATGTTTTTCGTCTTGTCCCTCATGGGGGCTCAGAGGGTTGCATCATAACGATTGCCTGTATGAGGGAAATCGATCACTTTGGTTGATAGTGCAGCCCTAATCATGAGAATAGCGACAGAATGACCGACTTTTTGACTAAAATGTAGATGAAAACTCATAGAATTAGCTTTATTATGGCTCAGCGAGCGCAAACGGTTTTCATAATTATTCATTGGGTAGCCTGAATTTAATTTGTATTTCATTGCATTAATTCGTTCATTTTTGGGCTAAGTATGTGAATTCCACATTAGTCGTTCTCCGTCAACAACAACATCAAAATAGTCGTTGATCACCTGCCAAGCCGTGATACTCGTTCAATCTACACGCAAGCCATGCCTTAATTTTGACAACCTACTCATGTAGTTTGATTAGATAAAGATTGGATAAAGTTTTGTTGATCGTTCAGACACAAGGGTAGTGATAGATAAATATTTGCCTTACCTCAGCTGAACTCCAAACGAGACTAGATGAACCGTCGTTACTACAGTTTAACAAATGTCTCAAATACTACCGGCCACCTGGTCTTATCGCTAGAATCATCTTTCCTCTTACGTCATTGAAGGATGCACCACACACCTTTTGTTGGTACGATAAAAAACTCGGAAGTGTAGAAATTCTTTGCTTTCCCCTGCTTTTTAGCTCTCATTTCATTGTCTTTAACACGTCATGGCCAGAAATCAAGGACAGTCAGCGGTCAAAGACGCGGGCGCCACAGGAACCCTGCCTCACCCTGTTGCGCTTGCTTGGAAGGTATCTATTAATGTTAAGCAACTTAAACTCCACTGTTGGTGTTTTGACCAAACGACAAACCACAAGATTCTTTTCAATTTCGTATTCCATACAATCTAAGAACAAACGTGGCCATTAAGTAAATCGATAGACGAAGGCGAAGCCTTAATAAAAGAAAAAAAAATCATCACTTCTGTTCTTGAACTACCTTTAAAGAGCGTCTGTGGCTTTTTCAGTCGTAAGATCGAGTGAAAATAAATTTGCTACAAAATAACGATAATAGTGAAATAACCACAAGTGATTGCAATTGTGGACACCATTGCTGATTCAGCGCTTTTCCGTAAAATTAGATAATTCACAGTGCAACCAGTATGATGCTGCTCCTCAAAGTAAGCAGAGCCTTTATACAGGCTATAATGGCCCATGGGGCCGGCGTTTAACTCCGGTTTCCTTAGCATGAAGCGGCTAGGAGTATTGCTACTCCCCCCTGGATGGGATGCTAGTCAATCGCAGGGATACCCCCAGCATATTTGCTGGTACCCATTTGTACACCTGGGTGAAGAGAAGCACTGTGAGAGTAAAGTGTCTTGCCTAAGAACACAATACAATGACCCCGGCCAGGGCTCGAACCCGGACCACTCGATCCGGAGTCGAGCGCACAAACCATGAGGCCACCGCGCCTCTTAGCATCTCCTCAATTAGAGTATTTTAAAAGTTACCTCAATTCAAACACGATGACATACCTCTGTAAATTACATTACGCTCGGATTTCTGAGGTGAGGAGATTTTCAATAAACTGTTCATAATGTCACAAACGGTGGAGTATACTGATACTTTATTTGGAGAAACTATATTTGGAGAAACGCTTCTGTTACGAAACCAAATGAAGATGAAATTTGTATTGTGACTAAGGCTGATCATCGAGAGTAATATTCCATCAAGGCCTTGTATTTGTATCGCTTCCTGAGTCGACGTATCATAATTTTAGGGTATGTATATTTTGAGTGACACAGGGAGTTTGTATGAATTCGAAGAACAAAGATAAATGAAAATCATTCATATGTAATAAGACGTTGCTAGAGCAGGATTTCGCTTCGGCATTCAATCAGCTAGAGTTGATATGACAATCGTAAAAATCGCAAATTAACCCTACATGATGGTTGTCCTACGAAAATACTTACCTCCCTCCAAAAATGTACCAAGGAATTTGTTCCAAAAAAATTTCTTAAGGTTCACATGGTAACCAGGTGGACAATCAGACATGGTTTCATGCTACTCTGGTTTACAGACAAGTTCCACACTCGCACCTTTGATAGTTTTATATAAAACACTCTCAGAAGCTCAAAATTTCTGTTGCATTCTTTTAGATTGTACCCTCGCTTTATTGGATTTTCATGTCAAATACAAATAAGTAACACAGTAAATTAAATACCAGTCTGTGTTTCCGAGGAGGTCGCATCGCTGTCGACATGTTCTGTATTGTCTTCGTGCGGATCGCTTCGGTGAACACTACGCGGCTCATATTGTTAAGGACGTGTCCCAGACACTCCTGAAGATTCTGGATTATCCCCATCGCTGTCATATACTAAGCTTCGGGCATTCGAGTCGCTATCTTCTGAAAAAACATCTTCCAAACTACCGCTACTTACACGAACTCCCACACCAGTTCTACTGGGGAATATGTGTTGCGCAATATTTTAGTTCCACCGCTTACGTCACAATTTCTCGCTATTGTTTTTACCGGAAATGGTTTCAATTGAAAATGCCGATTTTCTCCTAAAATAAGTCGAATTGGACAAAACGAATTTCAAATTCGTCTTCTACGCCACTTTTTACATAGTATAAGAAAAACATGTATTTTTGGGTTTACATGCCCTTTAAGGAATTCATTGACTTTTACTGTCGACTTTGTTGGGACTAAAATCGTTTATCGATTTGTTAGTTACTTTTAAGGATCTGTCGTTGAGTGTGATATGAAACAATCTCCTTTCGTCTTACGCCTGTTCTTCAGGCTAAAAAACACGAATACCTTAAGTTTAGAAAACACCGTTGTTGTATGTATCAAACTCTACTCACCCCGCGTGACTGGCCCCAAAACTATCTAATTACATACATGCATCCACCCCCAAGAGCGAAATGTTTACAATTCCTCCGTTTATACGTATCGAGAGCGACAACCGCGAGGTATTATGGCATCGGTTGCTTCTACGATGTATGAATGTCTCACTCTAGGGAATGTCCTACTACTTTTCCTTTTCATACTGATGCTCCATTACCTGTTGGTGTTGTACGAGTTCAGGAATATGCCTCCGGGTCCGAGATTGACGACCATCCCAATTCTGGGGAACATATTCTCCCTCGACTTCAAAGCAGATTTACTCTCGGACGCTTTCAAAAGGTAAATAAATGGTGAATCGCAGGGCTCAAGCGATCTTAGGAATTTTTCGATGAAAGAACTAAAAGAACTGCGTACGAGCTATGTCAAACTTGTCTACAGTAGTGCGATTTATTATCTTTAGGGAGGTATCGCTCTCTGAAATGGGTCTGAAGCCTTAACTCATTACTGCCCGGATAGTTGTAACAAAACCGATTACACAATAACAACGTAGCGTGTCGATTGTCTGGATTGTAACATAAATCAGTATCCTTTCATAAAATACGGCGAAAGAAATTACGAAGATGCATAAGAAGAGTCACTAATATTTTTTGCAGTAAAGTAATGGTTAATACGAAGGCACAGTGGTCTTCAACTAGAATTTGCATTTTAGATAAGTCCTAACACTAAGGGGTCATTCCGCTTGAGTAGTTTTAGATCCTCGTGCTTTTGTTTCCCTCTTTCTCTTTAAACAAAAACTAAGAGTTGTAAAGACCCTTGTTTTTGTAAATGGCCGATTTAGATTTAAAAGCGATTTGTAACCCTCCCGAGAGAGAATGTGTGATTTACCGAAAGACTAAAAATAGCAAAATAATTGTGATAATTAGGACTACTTACTTTTTCACCAAACTTGACGTGTTTATAAGAAAATAGCAATCAACTTCTCTCTCCAGCCTCGGTCATGTAAGAAGCTCACCAATTTTTTAATGTGCACAGACGCAAAACAGGTGAAATTTTATCTCAGGGAAACAAGCCTCTGGTCTCTAGCAGCAGTTGTTTACTCTCATTCTTATTTAAAGAGGTCACGTAACGGAAGGAATTAGGAAAGCGTGACGTCCAGGGAGAGAGTTGTAAAGACCCTTGTTTTTGTAAATGGCCGATTTAGATTTAAAAGCGATTTGTAACCCTCCCGAGAGAGAATGTGTGATTTACCGAAAGACTAAAAATAGCAAAATAATTGTGATAATTAGGACTACTTACAGGGAGAGAGTTTTTTTTTCACCAAACTTGACGTGTTTACAAGAAAATAGCGATCAACTTCTCTCTCCAGCCTCGGTCATGTAAGAAGCTCACCAATTTTTTAATGTGCACAGACGTAAAACAGGTGAAATTTTATCTCATGGAAACAAGCATCTGGTCTCTAGCAGCAGTTGTTTACTCCCATTCTTATTTATAGAGGTCACGTAACGGAAGGAATTAGGAAAGCGTGACGTCCAGGGAGAGAGTTGTAAAGACCCTTGTTTTTGTAAATGGCCGATTTAGATTTAAAAGCGATTTGTAACCCTCCCGAGAGAGAATGTGTGATTTACCGAAAGACTAAAAATAGCAAAATAATTGTGATAATTAGGACTACTTACTTTTTCACCAAACTTGACGTGTTTACAAGAAAATAGCGATCAACTTCTCTCTCCAGCCTCGGTCATGTAAGAAGCTCACCAATTTTTTAATGTGCACAGACGCAAAACAGGTGAAATTTTATCTCATGGAAACAAGCCTCTGGTCTCTAGCAACAGTTGTTTACTCCCATTCTTATTTATAGAGGTCACGTAACGGAAGGAATTAGGAAAGCGTGACGTCCAGGGATTAGAGTCAGTGTTGCGTAACGAGACTGAAAAACAGCCGCGGAAAACGCAAAAAAAAGATAAGCTTTTTTTTCGTACGATTATCAAAACGATGAGCTTTTTACGATCGTCTCCCATTCAACGTTCATCAGTGGATGAAGAAAGCAAACAGATATACCATTTGGATGGATGATCGAGTCTTCCTCGCCTTCAACAGCTGTAACTGTTTCCTTTCCTTCATACCATTGATTGATTTTCTTCACCTCACCACACAATCCCTAAACGTGTTGTCCCTGTTCTCTCTTGCAGTCTCAGAAACAAGTACGGCAACGTTTTCTCCATAAAAATTGGAAGCTATAAGTTCGTGATGGCTTCATCCTCCAAAGCTGTTCAGGATATGCTTGTTAAGAAATCAGCTGACTATGCGGGAAGACAACAAACATATTTCCTAGAAAAATTTACGCTTGGTAAGCAAACTTTATCTTTGAAATCCCCTAAGGCTAATTCCAATTATTTTGAATTTATAGCATCATAGTAGAGTAAGATGGGATCGTGTGTCATCATTCGGACCAAAAGTTGCAAGAAGGCCAACATGATTAGAAAATATTCTCTTCGATCTCAAGATAACATCCAATTTTACGCACACAGGTGGTAAAGATATTGTGTTCGGTAATTATGGTCCAGCTTGGAAGTTTCATCGGAAACTCTTCATTACCGCCTTACGCCAGTACCTTTCCGATGCAACATTAATTGAAAGGCGGGTCTCAACACAGGCAGAGAAACTTGTCAAGTTCATGGACGATCAAAGTGGAAAACCTTTCGATCCTGCAGACTGCCTGCAGCACGCTGTTGCTAATGTCATTTGTGGTATAACGTTTGGGGAAGGCTATGACACAACAGATCCAAGATTGAACAAGTTACTAAAACTTAACGTAGACCTTGTGGCAGATACTGAGAGTAATCAGCTGATTCTCATGATGGATTTCTTTCCATTTGCAAGGTACTTACCCCTCAAGGCTTATGATAAACTTCTTCAGCCCATATATGAAATATACGATATTATCCGCGTATTCCTGAGCCAGAAAAAAGAAAGTTTTGACGCAGAAGAACCCGTTAAAGATTTAATCACCGGACTACTGCATGCCAAACACCAAGCTGAGTTGGAGAGTGATGAAGTAAAAGACGCCTTTCTTTCCGATGACTACCTAGTCAACACTATCGAAGACATGTTTGCTGCTGGCTATGAGACTACGAGCACCACGATGAAATGGGTGATAGCCTTCCTGGTGAACAACCCAAAGTACCAGGAGGATATTCAACACCAGTTGGATGAGGTACTTGGTGAACGAAGTCCCTCTCTCGAAGATCGTCCTAATCTGCCCCTGATTCACGCAACCATCATAGAAACGCTACGACTTGGAAATGTAGTGCCTCTTGCCGTGCCTCACCTCACTCTTATCGACACCACAATGTGTGGCTACCGTGTTCCGAAAGATACGATCGTTTTCGCCGATACAGAGTCTGTCCATCTGAATCCCCAGTGTTGGGAAAACCCCACTATGTTTAATCCTTACCGTCATATCGACGAGAATGGCAAGCTAATCACCAACCAAGGCAACTTCTACCCTTTTGGAGCTGGACGACGGGTGTGTGCAGGCGAACCACTGGCTAAAATTGAGCTGTTCTTGTTTCTGTCGTGGATGTTCCAGAAGTTTAGTATTGTCGCTGAAGAAGAGGGTCATCCTCCGAGCTTGAAGAGAGAATTTAGCGGCACTCAGTTTCCATCTCCATACAAGATCCGCGCCGTCAAAAGGAAATGAGCAGGCGCTTTCAACCATCGTTGATATGATTACGCCATTTCTCTAGCTCGCGATTTTTTTTATAACAGACCAGTTTTTGTGTATATCGTTTCAAAGCCGAAAGCCTTTAGTAATTCTTTAGCAATGTACACCTGGGCGATTGTGGTTTACTCACCCTTGTAACGTGAAAATAATATTCTACTCAGTTTTGGATTTGAATTGTAACCAACTTCATTGTAAATCTATTATTTTGTCGGGAAGTTCCTTACAATTTTTATATTGGTGCTTTAGTTTTGTTTTGCCGTATCTTAATTTGGGCTGTATGAAGATTCAGATTGACAGTGACTTTTTAAAACCGGAGTCAAAATTTCGAAGGAGCTTTCTTAAAATGCTAGATCTGCTTTACATGACTCAGCGTGATTCGGTAGCTAAGTTTGACTTGATAACGTTGGACATAGATTGACAGCCTAGTTACTTTCACCTGATGAACATCAATGTCTATACAATCCAAGAATGAATAAGTCTTTTAAGCGTAGTTGTGTTGTAGTTTATTCGTGAAGTAATGAGGAGGATAAACCCAGATAAAGTTTTCTTTAAACAATCAACGAACACCTGTGAAATGCCAAATATACCTGCAGTGAGGCAAAGTGTGCATACTGTTAAAAGCACGAACAATCATATCATAGCCTAAGTAATTAATCCAGCACCAGACTTCAGAGATAGCTTTTAGAACTGAAATGACGTGATAATCACATGGCCGAAATATCCTCTTCCTTGATTTAAAATAAAAATAAAAAAAATTGTATTTTGCCTCACAACCTTGTTATTAGTTTTCGCACGTCATGAAATTGATCCAGTCGACATCAAGCTATGATGGATAAAAGGAATAGTATTTAACGTGCTGCAGTGAAAGGATGTAAAGTCAAATAATCTCCTCTTTGCATGTTGGGTTGCCAGTGCGAATCAAATAGGATCATCCTGATCTAGCTATTAGCAACGAGAGGACCCAATCCTCTCGGGCTGAAGAGAGCCCGATCCATGGCGGAGGCTACTGTGAGTCATCAATTCTCTCCCTCTTTTAAAAGGGATCATTATTGCCAGAGCCTTAAAAGGTTCTAATTCTGCCTCCAAAATCTTAACCCGGAGAATGCAGAAGTTAGAGAGGTTGTGATATTCTAAGGAGTTCGATTATCAAGAAAGGTTTGTCTTATTGCTATCAAGGGTAGATGGCTGTCTTGGAGCCCAATATTTTCACGACTGACCATGTAAGCATGTGGGACAAACGGCAATGTTTTTATTGTTTTAATTATTTCAAAGAAACCAAGGCATCAAAGAAAACGTGTAATTTACCATTTATTTGACTGAAAAATCCTCATTGATAAAAAATAGGTCAAAATGGTCTCGTTAACTAAAGTAGGCTTTGATTTTAGTTTGTTACATTTCCAACTTATCAATACACCGTATTCATAAATGACTGCCACGCGGAATGGTCTGGAATCGAGCGCATGAAAACGAGGTCGGAAAGGCCACATCTGGTCGCTTAGAAAGTAAACATTACCAGGAGAGCTACTTAGATGCGCTATTAGGTAGGAAAACTCACATTATTTTCAGTTTTTTTATAAATTTTTCGGAAAAAGTTCAGAAAATCGAAAGGCACTTCCAAGTATTTGGCTGGCAGTGTTTTCAGCAGCACCTAAGATGCCAACGCATTGCTCTGTGCCGCTATGTATAAAGAAAGGATATCGCGAGGGAGAGACTGGAGAGAAGGTCTCTTCAAATTTCCCACCGAAGAAGGGCTGAGAAAGTTGTGGATTCATGCTATTCGGAGAGATGAGGGAAAAGACTTCCAGATTTCAAATACTACTAAAGAAGAGTTTCAATGGCGTTGTTTCCTTGGGGAAAGGGGCTGTTCCTTCAGTTTTCGCTTAGAAACGAAACTCACCTCGCAAGCGACCGCCTCCAACGCCTCGCATCCCCAGTACTGCGTCACACAACTTATACAGAAATATTAGTGAAGTTGTGGAGACTGCCAGTTCGAGCGAAATTTTGGAGACATCAGAAAGCTCATCCAACTCACACCTCGCACCGGAAATTGAGGAACTGCAATCTTCGACAAATTTTTGATTTGCAGTGCGAGGAAAATCCGGAAATTGCACGACTCGAGAAACTTTTAGCTGCACTACTAAAATTAAAGAAAAGTTAGAGAGCGAGGTGTTATCCCTGAAGGGAAACATTGCTTCTCTCGAGCAAAAATGCGAGAAACTCGAAAAGCACGTGTTTTCATTTGACAACGTTAAAACAGATCACTCTTAGTTGACATTTCATACTGAGTTTCCAAATGTCCAAACGAGGATGGCTCTGTATGAATATTTAGATCCTGGTGTCAACGGAAAAAATATGAAATACTGGTTGTCTAGCCAAGATGACTCACAAACGGCTGCTGCTGGTAATTCAGTGAAGCAAGGAAGGCTAAGGACTTTAACACCATCAGAAGAATTTTTCCTGGTAATGTGCAGACTGAGGCAAGGGTTTGCTGAAATTCACCTTGCACAGTTGTTTAAAATTTCTCAGTCGACTGTGAGTAGAATATTTGTTTCGTGGATTAATTTCATGTACTTAAAGTTTGACCAGAAAAATATCTGGCCATCCAGGAAAGTAGTAGATAAATCGATACCTGAAGCTTTCAAAGAAAAGTATCCCAGTACAAGGGTAAGAATCGATTGCACCGAGGTGCGCTGTCAGATGCCTGGCAGTCGTCTGTTAAACAGTGAGTTATTTAGCTCTTACAAGAACCATACCACCCCAAAAGCATTGGCGGGCATTTCTCCTAAAGGGTCAATAACATTTATAGGACAATTATACACTGGCAGTATACTTGATAAAGAAATGATTGAACGCAGCGGTTTTTTGAAACTACCCTTTGAACAGGGAGACTCTGTAATTGCTGACAAGGGTTTTTACAACTGAAGATGTTCTTCCCCTGGGAGTGTCCCTTAACATCCCTCCTTTCCTTGGAATGTCTGACCAGATGTCAGCTGAAGATAGCAGAATGTAACCCCCAGAAAATAAAATAAATAAGAAGAAAACAAGGGGGGAAGTTGACCTTCCAAACACAAATTTGTAATGCAATTTAAATTCATCTTTGGTTTAAGATTTTCAACCCAGGTTGACTCTTGTTTGTTATTGTCTTGTATTCATTGACAAGAAATGAAGCAAAATAAATTCAAAATGAAAGTGGTGAAAAAAGTAAAACCAAAGCTAAATTTTGACCTTAGAAATTCGCAAATTGCAAGTGTGGATCACCTTACAAAATAGGTGAAACGAGAGAGGAAACCCCTTAAAAAGCTGGCATTTACGCTACCTTTGATGCATGCTTTATAAAATGGGCAAAATAACATGATGCAACCTTTTGCCTTAATTCTGCCCAGTATGCAAGGTTAAAAGCAGTCCTTTCCACTGAGATTCCTTTCTTAGTGAATACAATGAAATCGCACCAGGATGCTCCAGTTACACCCATCTGGCCCTGAACTTGGGCAAAGTAAGCATGATCTCTTTTGAGTTTGCATTGTCCATTGACAGCTTCACAGCAGAATGAATGATCTTCACAAGCCTTCAAAGGGGTAACATAGTATTTAGTCTCTGGACAGTTACCCTCTGCAAGTCCAAAGTGTCGCTTGCATCCAAAATCAACAACCCTTGCATCAGGGGAGCCAGCAAGAATTAGCAAATGTTGTGAAATGACTAGACCACACTCGAGAACCTTAACTGGAGTCTTTCTGGTTAACATTATTTTTTCATATTCTTTTAGTGCAATTGGTTCATATTTCAGTCCATGCTCAACGTGTCTGGAAGAGAAGAACTTTGGGTTAATGAGCTCAGCAGCAAACTTGTCATGGTTTATTTTCGTAGAAAAGGTTGTGGTTATTCCTCGTGGTGAATAACAATAAAAGCTAAGTTTTTTTCGGGTTCGGTACTGTTGTTTGGTTTTCCGGTCTTGGTAAGTTTCTGCAAGAAAGAAAAAGGATAACCACCAGAAACCAGAACATGTGATAGATGTTTTTTCTCCTCGAAGATGACGGAGGGTTTTGCTACGAGACGTTTGGCGCGCTCGTAAAGGCACTTAACAATACCGCGTTTTACTGATTGAGGGTGGTGTGAATCATATGCTAAGTATTGATCGGTGTGCGTGGGTTTCCTGTATACACTGGTGGTGAGGCGTCCCTCAGGTTCTCTTAAAACTGCGGTGTCTAGGAAGACGAGTTTGTTGTCTTTGTCTGTCTCCATTGTGAAGCAGATGGAAGGCTGCTGGTTGTTTAGATGCTGTAAGAAGTCATCTACGTTTTCACGATCCAGGATGGTAAAGGTATCGTCCACGTAGCGTTTCCAAATCCTAGGCTCGTAGGATGATGTAGTTATCGCCTGTTATTCGAAACTCTCCATGTAGAGGTTAGCAATAACAACGGCGGCGCCGTCTTTTTGCTCGTAAATCGATCCGTTGTACTGGAAGTATGTGGATCTCAATACGAAGGTCAAAAGGTCAGCGATCTGTGCCGGCGTTAGCGTGGTGCGGTCTGCAAGGCTTGGGTCTTTCTCGAGTTTCTACAGTGCGGCTTGTACAGTGGCGTCGATAGGAACGTTGGTAAACAGCGATTCTACGTCGAAAGATACCATGATCACGATGTCAAGGATTGTCTCATTGCTGACGGTGGATACGAAGTGGGCTGAATTGGTCACCGTGTACTCTGACTTTCCTGTTAAAGGAGACAAGATGTTGGCTAAGTAAGCGATAAATCATATGCAAAGGTGTTTACGCACGACACGATAGGTCTTAGCGGTACAACGGCCTCGTGGATCTTTGGCAAACCGTAGATTCTAGGCGGCTATTTGTGTCGGCATCTGATCTTGTTGTAAACGGCCTCTGATAGATATCCGCTTCGCTTCAAGGTAAGCAGCTTTTCGGAAAACTTGCGGGTCAGGCGGTCTGTCGGATCTTTGTTAGGGAGCTGGTACGGTCCATTCTCAATAAGCGTAGACATCTTAGCTCAGTAGGTGTCGGTATCCATGACTACGCTAGCGCGCCCTTTGTCTGCTGGGAGAACCATGATGGACTCGTCTTCTTTCAGGCTTTTAAGTACATCTCGCATCTCCTTCATGATGTTAGGCTCTGGTGGTTCTGCCTGTTGAAGGATACCGTTAACAGCTCTTCTGACTGTATCTGCTTGTTCGGCGTCGAGTTGTCTTACGGCCGGTGGTTTCTGTCTTCGTTGTCTTACGGCCATGGTTTCTTTGCCTTTTACTTATTAGCTGAAATCTTGAAGTTTTGAATCTTTATTTAAGCTCATTCTTCCAGAAATCAAAATTTGATTGCTCCCTCATGGCAGATTCGATGCTGTTAAAAGAATTCTCATTAACTTCAAGAGTACGAAGGAGTGCTTTTTCGGCATCATTCAGGTTATCAGAAATAACAAATGTATCCATTGCAGATAAAGGAAATCTGGGGTAGGCCAGTTCTGTTGGTGGAGAGTTGTTTAATCGAGGAATTGAGGCAATGTTAGTGGTGGCACTAAAATTTGCTTCTGTATGAGTTAGCTGATAACTACAGAATGATCCTGTCTGGCTCTGACCAAATGTGGTTTGCACAAAGGCTGGTGATAAATTTTCTGCAGCCATCAGTGATCAAACTGTGGATTTATACCTTGAAGAGTCTTCTTTAGTTCCACTTCTGACTAGAGGTTATGGCAAGGATTCATCCTAGCTTCATCAACAGAGACTTTATTCCTTCCCTTGTTTTTGTCTCATTCAGCTTTGTTTTGGAAACAATAATTTCCATTACTGGTTGAGGGTGGATGTTGTCACCACGGCCTTTGGCATGCCACCTCTGAAGCTGTGAAGTGCATGCTAAATCAGGATGTTCGTCATTTTCCTGGTTCAGGTCATCAGTTTTCTTGCTGTCATACAAGCTAAACTTGCATGCCTTAAACATTAAGGCAAGAACATGGTTGCAATAATCCACATTTCCAGCTTTACACGAACAGTTAGCATGCATAACTTGACCTAAAACGATGCAAAGCGCAAATTGAATACTGTGGGGAGCATCTTTCTTCCTGAAGCTATGGTAGCATTTTCCTCTCAGGTAGAAGTACCTTTGATCACTGTTTGCTTCTATATCTTTAAGAATGTCTTCGCCTCCTCAAGTTTGTGGGGATAGAATGATGATCTGCATTCCCCACTCTTTTTCCAGAACTTTCGATGTGCTGGTTCATTTCTGCCCGCTTAAACAGAGGCATCCTTTGCAGTGAGTTTCCCCAGCCATCACTTGATATTTCGGGGTTGACGTTTCAGGGGAGCGTTCGGTCGACAGTTTCGAAAGCCTATTCTTTCTTTTATTATAAATTTCATCTGGATCCGGATCAACTATCATTTTATCTCGACCAGACGTGATATATTCTTGGACTCTATAGTTGCGTGCGCTCACCGTTTCACAAGGAACGCTTTCTTCTTGAGTCCCTTAAGCAAATCACCGCGACATCTTAACCAAAACTTCAATTTTTTCATTCTTTAAGGCTGAAGGATTTCTCCAAGCCAAGGAAGCACTGGGTATGTCGTTCTCAGTGAGAGTAATGTTGTTTTCTGCCGACGAAGAGCTAGAAGACGCTATCATTTCTATGCTGTTGATTTTCCTGAGGCCTTTCCAACCTCGTTTCCATGTTCTCAAATCCAGGCTGCTCCGCGTAACGGCCATATATGAATACGGTGTATAAACATGATCTATGTGTCAAAAAACAGCAGTGTGATTGACACTATCCATAAATATTGACGATGACAATATCTAGGTGGTAAACGCGCTGCGTCTACAGAATTAAGCTGAATAATCACAAGTGATAAGACACGGGAAAGGAATCCCACTTTCCCCCAAACTGGTAGGCCGGCAGTTTCGGACGCTTCTATACTAACATTCTAAAAAGGTCTGGTTTGAGCTCAGGGCTTTTATAGTTACTTAAAACGGTGGTATTTTATGTATACATGTATATCTGATTGGAATTGTAAAAATCATGCCTGCTATGTTACAAGATTCACATCAAGTTAATGCGCTGCTAGAGCTGAGCTAGTGGGTGAGCATCCTTTGGTTGGAGAATGGGTAAAATTCCAAAGCAGCAAGAGTGGGGAGGGTAGGTTTTAAAAACACCCTGGCCAACTGGAATTTTTCTGAGGCTGGAAGAGGCTTGTATTATTTATCGTGGTTGAAAGCCGTATTGCATGATTGGTAGTCAGGCTTGTATCCTGCCACACCTCAGCCACTGGCCTAACATTCCATGACTGAAAGGTGGTTGAGTGTCAAAGGCATGCCTTTAGGAGAGGGGGCTCAATAAAAATTGCAAAAACCTGGTGACTCGGTTTTCGCGTGAGGGCGGCCATCGCTCACCCCCCACCCCCGCGTGTAACTTAGGAGCTATCCGTAACCTTAGTAACGCGAAATTTATGCGTTTCCTCCTTTTAAGCGTGACAAGAACAACTCCGTTATGGTGTCATAGCATCGGTAGCTTTCACGATGTTTGAATGTCTCACCATAGGAAATGGCCTTCTACTTTTTCTTTTCATGCTGATGGTCCATTACCTGATGGTGTTGTACGAGTTCAGGAGCATGCCTGAGTTGTAGTTTCTGTTTTCTCTTCTAGTCCCAGAAAAAAGTACGGCAAAGTTTTCTCCATGAAAATTGGAAGCCATAAGTTTGTGATGGCCTCATCCTCCGAGGCTGTTCAGGAAATGCTTGTCAAGAAATCAGCGGACTATGCTAGTTGGACGAGGTACTTGGTGAACGAAGTCCCTCTCTCGAAGATCGTCCTAATCTGCCCCTGATTCACGCAACCATCATAGAAACGCTACGACTTGGAAATGTAGTGCCTCTTGCCCTGCCTCACTTGACGCTTACCGACACCACAATGTGTGGCTTCCGTGTTCCGAAAGATACGATCGTTTTCGCCGATACAGAGTCTGTCCATCTGAATCCCAAGTGTTGGGAAAACCCCACCATGTTTAATCCTTACCGTCATATCGACGAGAATGGCAAGCTAATCACCAACCAAGGCAACTTCTACCCTTTTGGAGCTGGACGACGGGTCTGTGCAGGCGAACCACTGGCTAAAATTGAGCTTTTCTTGTTTCTTTCGTGGATGTTCCAGAAGTTTAATTTTGTCGCTGAAGAAGAGGGTCATCCTCCGAGCTTGAAGAAAGAATTTAGCGGCACTCAGTTTCCGTCTCCATACAAGATCCGCGCTGTCAAAAGGAAATGAGCAGGCGTTCTCAAACGTTGTTGGTATGATTAGGCCATTTCTCTAGCTCGCGATTTTTCACAACAGAGCAGTTTTTTTAAAAATATCTTTTCGTAGCCGAAAGCTCATAGTAAACGTGTAGCAATGCCCACCTGGACCACTTTGGACTCATTATCTTGTGTCGTGAAATCCAACATCCAACACAGTTTGATCTGAATTGAAACCAATTGTTCATTGGAATATTCACATTTATATTCCTAGTGCAGTTGTGTTGTAGTGTATTTGTGAAGTAATAGAGACGATACAACCAAAACAGGAGTGAAAACTGTGAAATGCCAAAATTTGACACATAGTGAGGCAAAGCATTTGTTTTCTTGCTCTAGGCATTAACAAATCCAGAAAGCAGTATAACACCCTACGAGGTAAAATAGCGATTAAGCAGAGATGTTTTATGATATAACACAGGCACAACGTCGATCTGTTTGGTCAAAAATCTTTTGTATATTTTCCTGTATAACCAGAGAAAACTGAAACGTTTTCCCGTCCTGTGAAATGGTACCACACGTGCCAAATTCTCAGATCTCAGTTTTGATCAGTTGATATTCTCTTCTTTGGTAAAGGCCTTTGGTTTTAAGGAAACGAGGAGAACATTTTGAAGGCCAAAACTAACGACAATGGTTTTACTCTTTATAACATCACCAAATTTTCTATTCGCTATTAAAAACTCAGTTCAACTAACTCTGTTTTAAGCCTTAATTCTACGGTGAGTAGTCTAAGTGAAGGAACTTCAGAAATTTTCGACTCGAATTCCACCAATGGGCCAATGCGAGGCTTTAATTCTAACTCGTCTTTTAAATACGTCGAAATATTCCTTTAATAATCCTAATCCAAGGATACTCTATTAAGAGGTCCGCTCATAAAAAGAAGTTTGGCTCATTGTTATCAAGCGAGAAGGCTATCCTGGGGCCCAACGTTTTTCATGTGAGTCTTTGGGGAAGAGGACGACCTGCTTGGAGCTATTCCTACCTCCCATGAGTCATTTATTTCAAAGAAATCAGGACATTAAATTCAATTTTCCAGTGTTCAAAACAGCAGTGCGATTGAAACTAACCAAGCATTAAGTTGGATAAACACAGCAGATAGGCTAGCTTCAGGGTTTTGTTGTTTAAACTAACTTCAAGACTTGTTTGCAGAGCGTTCGCTACGCGTTTTAGCCCAATAAAAATTTAAGAGGTAAGAAAATGGCCCTGATGTGAAGATATGTGCGTCTATTCACCCGCTTTGAGGATTTTGTTTAAGATTAAAGTAAGCAATCGCCAGGGGGGTAACCATTAATACGAGTACACCATTTCTTGATACGTGATGTGAATAATCGTAACATGGGATAATACAAAGTAAAATATATTTTGAATATGAAAAGCTCCAAGTTGTCATGAACGAGGCTGCTTCTTATCACTATTGTGGAATAATCTGTCTGTTCACTTTCGTTTCATGGCGCGTATCTTGTAACGAACAGGAAACTATATGAAGAAATAAACCCCTTATAACTTGGGAGGACGGCCGTTTTCTTCAGGGGTACAAAACTAAACTTCTGCAGCAACAAAGACAGAAAGGGGTTCGCCAGCACAGAACCTTCTTCCTGCTCCAAAAGGGTAGAAATTATCTTGGTTCGTGATCCTTCATCGTCGATATGAGGGTGGGGATTGAACCCGGAGGGGTTTTCCCAGCATTTGGGATCCATGTGAATGGATTCAGCGTCTGCAAACACAATGGTATCTTTAGGCACACGGCAGCCAAACAGTGTCGTATCATTCACGGTGAGATAAGGCAAGGCAAGAGGGGCCATATTTCCAACCCTCAGTGTCTCAATGATGAGAGCATTGATTAAGGGCAGGTTATAGCGGTCGTACATGGTACTTGTGGTTTCGTAAACAGCGCCAAACATATCCTCGATGGTTTAGACGAAGTAATCATCGGTGGAAAAACCTGAGTAATTTTGTTGCTCTCGCTTTCAGCTTCATTCTTGGCGTGTAGAAGACCCAAAATTAAATCTTGTACTGGTTGCTTCTGATGGAAAGCTCACCCCGGGATCCCGGGGTTGTAAGATTGTATGCGAGTTATTTTCGAACACGGTAGGGCGGGTTACCTCACCTACATGGGGTTTCCCACATTAATGTAAACAGGTCCTAAGATTTCCATTCTAAATCTCTAGATCTGTTTAAAATGAACAGCAAGACCTATCGAAATAACATCGAAACAACAGTAAATAAGAGATCTGATCCAACATCCGGATGTTTCTTCCGTGTGTATAGGTGAAGGTTTTCATTCAATCATTCGTCGAAAATGGGCACCAAGAAGGCGAGGAAGCCTTTTGAACGTTTATAACAAAGGAAAAATCCGAGAGGTAAAATCAAGGACAAAAAAACCAATTTACTGCAGACGTAATTGATACAAATCAAATCCAAGGAAAATAAACCACGGTACAACTGAATGACTAACGCTAATTACTAAACATAATCTTGATGATATCCCCTTGATGATATCTGATATTATATCTGTATGATATCTATCTATGTCTGTGTCTATCTATATCTATATGATATCTGATATCTGATGAATATTATGAGGGCGTCAGTATTCTACCGGCTAAGCAAAGCCGAAATGAAGTGATACCTAAATAAATACCTTTATAAATGACACAGTATAATTCAAATCGATTTACACTAGATCCCAAGTTTTTAAAGCAGCATTACTATCGCTAAAAGACTTATTGTTTAGTGATCGAGTTTGTTGCTAACTCTATCCAGTGGTCTAACACCACTTAGCTATTCGACAGATTCTCTCGTAACGGTCTTGAACGAAAAGACATCACGAGTAAGCCCTGTTCGTGCAAAAAATGAACATGTCGCTTTCGGTGCCGCTGAGGATATAAACTTTGGCCCAGCCTCAAAAAAATATATTACGAACGTCACCAACTACACTTTTTGTCACGGCATTTTCATGTAAATAATACTAAATTTTGGATCTACGATGAGAAAAAATAACATAAATGTAGCATACTTCATGGAAAGTTTGTCCTATGGTATTTGCATACGAGCTGGTGAGCGCAGCAAACGAGTGAGACTTCTGATACAAACTGAAAAAGTCTTGATTGGTTGTCGACCTCTTCAAACAGCGTGCGAACGGACATTTATTTGGCGCCTTTTTAGCGTGTAAATCTTAGTATTTATATGATAATAAAGGATACCTGTGGCAGATTCATGTTAAAAATTACTCAGAGAATGTTAAAATCAGCCTGACCGTAATATTTTTCAAAAAATCAAAAATACTTGGGTGATCAAACAATTTGCTCAGGTTTCACCATTACCAAAGTAGAAAATCCGTTTCCAAATGCAACAAATGGAAAAGGGAGTATGTACCTTCTTCATGGGCTAATAAATGTAAAATAGAAACCCACCAAAATAATTTTCTCCAAGATTTTCCTAGAGTAAAAACACTAGGCAAAAATCCATGTCATTTTCGTCTGATGGCGCGTATCTTATAAGGAGCTGGAAATTGTACAAAGCCGTACAAGCCTTTCAACTTTGGCGGAAACCCATCTTCTTCCGCAACGAAAGTAAATTTCTGCAACAACCACGACATGAACAAGAACAACTCGACTTTAGCCAGTGGTTCGCCAGCACAGAACTGTCGGCCCGCTCCGAATGGGAAATAGTTACCTTGGCTGGTGATCAGGTTTCCTTTGTCGTCAAGGTGACGGTAAGGGTTGAACTCAGTCGGGTTCTCCCAGCATTTGGGATCCAGGTGAACTGACTCTATGTTAGGAAGCACTATCGTACCTTTAGGGACACGGTAGCCGCAGAGAGTTGTGTCATTCAAGGTGGAATGGGGCGCTGCAAGAGGAGCCACGTTTCCAATACGAAGCGTCTCTATGGTGGTAGCGTGGATGAGGGGCAGATTGGGTCGATCATTCAAAGACGGCGTTCGGTCACCAACTACCTCATCTAATTGTCGTTGAATATCCTCTTGGTATATGGGGTAGTTCACCAACATGGCTATTGCCCACTTCATAGCGGTACTTGTACTTTCGTAGCCAGCGAAGAACATGTTTTCTACGGTGTTAACAAAGTAATCCTCCGATAGATAAGCGGACTTTTCCATGTCATTTTCGCGTTCGGCCTCTTTTTTAGCGAGAATGAGACCTGAGACCAAGTCTTGAATGGGTTGCTCAGGATCGAAATTCTTCTCTCGCTCTCGCAAAAATATGCGAATGATATCGCACATTTCATAGAAAGGCTGAATGAATCGATCGTAAGCCTTTATAGGAAGGTACTGTGTTACAGGGAAGAAGTCCATTATCTTCACGAGCTGAGCAGTCTCGTGGTCTGACACGAAATCAACGTTAAGCTTCAGGAGCCTGTTCAAATTTGGATTGGTGGTGTCGTATCCCTCTCCAAAGGTTATGCCACAGATAACGTCAGCAATGGTTCGATTTAAGTTTTCTGAGGGATCAAAAGGCTTTCCTTTCAGTGTTTCAATATATTTTGTTAGTGCCTCTGCTTGTGCTAATACTCGGCGTTCGATTAGAGGAATATCCGACAGGTATTGGCGTAAGGCTGTTGTGAATAGTTTGCGATGAAGTTTCCAGCTAGGGTCATAGTGAGTTAACAAAATATCTTTCCCTCCTGTAAGAAAAAAAAAAGAATATTTGATTCCGATGCAACTGTTTCATCCCAAGGATATCTATATAGTCCTCAATTCTTTTTCTCTTGAAAAGTGACCACCCCACGTTTACCTGGGTAACAAGGCTAATTAACAATCAGATAGTAAATGTTCCAAGGACGACTAGACCTCTAGCCTTATAGGAGTGAAATGTTAACTTAAACAACCCTTGAACATGAAAGCGTTACTTCTTAGTTGTGTTACTGAAAAACAACCAGGTTCCCAGGTTAAAAAGTTTACATTGGAGTCAGAGCAACTTTTCGGTTACTCTTGAAAAGTTTAAGTTACCTCTATCCACTTCTGCAAAAAACAGTGTAATAAAGACATCATTTCTTTACGCTACAATTTTTACAGTGGAAATATCCAATGACGCAAAAGAAAGGGTTTCACAAAAATTATCGTCATAATAATATCGCGATAGATTTATTAGAATTGTTAACTGATAATAACGCCAGAATGATTTTAAGCACGAGTGTTATTGTGGTTGTATCGAGAACCATAAAGAATTTGACCAAGATCACCTGAACGCAAGAGTGCTCAGGTCTGCTATACCAATTACCAAAACCAAGGAAGAGGCTTGACTGCAGCCAAAGAGAGAGAATTTCTTTTTTTAAGTTGTGGTATACTATAATTAATTTGGCATGCTTGACGGATTTATGATATGAAGGACAACTAACCAAGGTTTATTGAATACAGAGCAAAGGTCTGCTGTCTTCCTGCATAATCAGCTGATTTCGTAACAAGCATTTCATAAACTGCGTCCGGAGATGCTGCCATTACAACCTTGTAGCTTCCTATTTTTAGGGAGAAAAGTCGGCCGTATTTCTCTTCCAACCTACAAAATAGCAAAAAAATGGTTTGGAAATTTTAATATGATTTAATGATAAACAATCCAACTTGAAAATTTTTAAGAGTAGTTTCGAAACTTTAACATGATTTAACGAGGAAAGAAAATGAATGACTTTAATTCACTTGAGGGTCATTAAAATTAGAAAAAAAGAAAGAAGGAAAAAGAGCCGTCAGTCCTATGAAAAATGCTAGAAGACTGAGTAGGGTCGGGTCGGACGAGAAAATGTTTGACCCTCGATCATGGCTAAGTTCATTACAGGCAGTGGAATCGACCCTCCCATTATTTCAAGATAAATTTGGGATCGGCGGCCCGGAGATTAATGCATCTCACAACCCCCTGATAAAGAAGCAATGCTTATTTGAAGGAACTGAATTTCCGACAACTTTTGATTTGTTTGCATTTCACCCATAACCTAGATACCCAACGTTACACAAAGTCGAACAATTATAGACAACTGTGATTCTGCTCTCCTCGGGGAGAGAAGTCAGGTGATCAGCAATAAACTGGTTTAGCATTGTCATATTTATTAATATGAAGCAATTATAGAACATCGACTGAGAGGTCAATGAAGCGAATATTCTCAATAATGCTTGTATTAACTGCGAAGTAGCAGACCGCCGAAGTTCCTTTGGAACCGATAATTTTTTTTGAAAAAAGAGAAAAATTGAAATAAAAAAGTGAAAAACATCTTATCACTGATGTAAAGAACATAACACTAAAAAAAAAAAAAGAAAAATTAGCGGAATAGTGTGAGAAATATGCGAGGTAAGTAGCCTGTTTATGGCTTTATAATTCTTTTTTTTTCCCATTTTTCACTTGAAAGAATTTTGTTCTTAAAATAGTAAGGACGGGGATACGCAAATCTTTACGGGACAGACTCTCGTTCATATCAACCGAACCTACAGTGCGTACTACCACTTGGCCTCTCAGTTACTTAGCTTCTAGAAATGGACGGTGGTATCGCAAATCTCAGAAGTGTTGTAACAGATTGGGAGGCAGGGCTGATAATAACGATGAAAGTGTTCTATCCACAAACAGAACAGCTTCACTGTAGCTGTCACTTCAAGGAAAACTACCCAGACAAATTGAATTCTCTCGGCATTAAGGGTAATGATCAATCAACATCAACATATCGTCGTGGAACCACGGGTGCCAAGTGACGGTGTGGCCCACGGCGAGACTCAGGTTGAAAAGGAGGCAAGGTTACAAAGCTGGTTTTTAACGGTCGTGTATCGTGGTGAACGTGTAGGCGGGCAGTTAGAAACGTCTAAACTGGAAATTCTTGAAGCAAACTGCCGGCGGGTTAGTGTCATTTTCACGGGGAGGATTGAGTTGGTAGTGAATTGAATTGAAACTATAGTATATGCGCTTGGATTCTGCGTTGGATTTGTGGTCTCCCGGTCATTATGAGCTTAGATTTATTGCCTCTCGGATCGGGCGTTCGGAAATGGAGTGTGCAGCCTTGTCCTTCTCTCTGGAGTAGTAAACATAGAAATAGATAACTCACTAAAATGGTTTCCTTTCAATATAATGAGCGGTCAGACAAGAAGCGAAGCACTGTGGAAGTAAGGTGAGGTATTTTTATTGAGAATTTGACAGTTCTTTTTTAATCCTAAGAGCGGTCGTAAATATTCTCATACAAACTCTTATATTTTCGCCATGACTCTTATTTCGCAAGATGATCATCTCACAGCTGGAGCTTGGGCTGCCCGTGGTCCGAGTGAATTCATGAAATAGGCAGGAGCCAGTTAGACTGCCACCTTCAGTTAGTTTGTAAACAGAATTAGAGGCCGCGAAAGGTCCAGTTGCCGCATGAGGAATATCAGTATCAACAGTCCTGATGTCCTCGGGAGAGGGAAGCTGTCATACATTCCAGGTACAGTGTTAGCATTTATCCGGAAAAAAAGTTTCGGAGTATCTTCCTACCCCCAACGTAGTCATTCAAGTCCCATCAGAAGATGAATGCATCCCAAGGTACTCTGTCTATAGCCTGTTTACACAGAACCCCAATTCTGTCAACCTTACATAAGGAGGAGGCCATATGACATGAACATTCTTAAAGTTTAGATTTGGTCTTAATGCGTGTTCGCACACAGTGCCACCATTCTTAAACGCTTCGACAAACCTCTACGATGTATCTACAGCTAATATCAATAGGCCGCAGGAAAGAAACGGGAAATGAAAGGCGAGGAGAGTACGAGAGTACGGCAACCCCCGCAATCAGCACCCTCGACGTCTGTTTCGCCAGTGGAATGGCTATTTGGGACAGGCCCAACGAACACCCAAGTGGATATAGTGTCTGCACCTCTCCCGACCATTATACAGCTTCCTAGACCGATGTTCGTGTCACAAACGCAGCAATATTGAAGCACTGATCATGTTCCATCAAGTTTTCCTCAACAATAACACCCCACATGATGTCAAAACAGCCGCGTACCTCGCTGTCTACTACGACAAGAGCACCTCTACGGGTAAATTTGCCATGGTATAACAATAATCCATTTGTTATCCTGCCGTCAACAGAAAGAGTTAGGAAGTTCACTGGATGCTATTTTTTGTTTAGAGATCCTATGGCTCCAATTTTCGTAGGACCTGTCATTCAACATAAAGAGAAAATTTTCAACTGTGACTAAACTGGCGTCCTTAAGACCTCTTGCGAAGCCAGTCATAACTTACACCACCAACTTGCATGTATCTAAATGCACCATCCCCACGTACATGGAGCTGAGGCTGCTGCAGTTGGGTTTGGACAGTTCGGTAGAAGAAAGAGTACAAGAACTGAGACTTTTCTTATAAAATACACATGACAGTCTTAGTATTTTAATACTACAGATAACTGTGGAATTTCTATAAGTTCAAAGGATTTGACACTTACTGAGTAGTGCAGAATTTACTTATGAAAACTAAAATATCAAAACTTGATCGTTTTTGGTTCGGATCCTTTTTTCAAATGATGTTGGCAGATTATGGCTGATTTAGTTATGAAAAATAACGATTTTCATGTTAATTAATAAATGTTGCGTGTATGGTTATTATTCAAGTGTAAAATAAGTGCAAGCCCAATATCACAGGAACGCTTTAAATCTCACCTCTACCTGGCGACCAAAATCTAGTTACTTTAACTGTTAAGCGTACTAACGAGTTCCACGAACAAGGAATATATTTTTCATGACGAAAGTTTCACAGATTGCAAGTCGAGCTGAAAGGAGTCTGTAAGCCTAATGCCAAAGATAAAGGTGTCAATCTGTTGCTTTTCTCTTGAGTCGACCAATAGAGCTGAAGGCATTGATATCAGAACTCAGATAGAACAAAATAGGGTGCAGAAAAAGTATTACATCATTATCACTTACATATTTTATTAGAAAGTGGTCCAATAACAGTATCAGGGCGAATACAAACAAACATAACTAGTATTACGCGACGCACAGAATTTCGAATTCAACCTATGGCCGTGAACAGGCTACTAAAAGCGAATATTTTTCTTTCGAATTCCGCCATGTTGATCGCATAGTGGGGAATAGAAAATTCAATGTGACTTTGCTCAGCTGATCGGGAATATCCCGCAATGAATTTTCCCACAATTATAGTCACTTCTTCCTGTTGGACGTCAAAGACGATAAAAACATCTCTTTTAATCTAACTTCCTTCTACCCGAACATGTAATTTTCAACAGTTTACTGTTTATTTTCATACAAAAATAAAGGAGTGAGTTCCGGAGATTCCGCAGTTTCCGCAGTGTGCCCATCCATAGTTTCGTAACACCCCAGTAAGGCGAATATTCTTCATGCTGTACTAAGAGTCACATTACAAAAATTTTTACGGAGAGCGTGACCCTGAATGTTTACTTAAAGAGACATTTATCAACACTCATCACTCAAACAACCTCGAGCGAGCCTTGTGTTTAAAAAATACAGAGCAACCATTACACAGAGCTTGAATCGGTAGAAACAGAATGTGCGTGAGGGCAGAGTATCCAAATCACAATAGTCGTTAAAGGCGTTGATAGGAACAATTGACTAAGCAGCTTTGACTAATCTGTTCAATGTACCCCTCAATGTTTATTGTAATGCAAATATCTTCAAATAGTGTCCTCATGATTCATCCAAGAGTTACATACCAAGAGAAAACAAGGCAATCAAAACCTACCAACGACAGGTCGCCACATCTGACGCAAACATAATCCTTGGTTCCACATTCATTTAGAGCGCCGACGTCTAGGCTTACGGATCTCGCGTAATGCACGAAAATTAGTTACGTAGGAGCTCAGAGAGTTAATTCGATTTCTTCTATCCATAATTAGACAATAATAAATTGATTCAGACCTTTAACCTCCTTCACATGTGTTTGTTTCGGACAAAGTGAGAAGACATGGCTAAAATATTTAGGAAGAGCCATCGTAGCTCCCAACAGCTGAATTGTTGTGGTTTCGTAAGACCTAGACCAACGCGTTCCCAACAAAAGATAATGAAATAATCTCTTGATTCCCAACCATTCATTTTTCTTCTACTTATCAACTCATTTTAAGGCAGACAGGGAAAGTCGATTTGGGTAAAAGCCATGTTACACTGTTCAAGTGTCACTTACCCCTTAATAGCTTCTGTAAATTTCTCCGCCTTCAAATCCAAGGAAAATATGTTTCCCAGAACTGGAAGCGTCGTTAAGCGTGGACCTGGCGGCATGTTCCTGAACTCATACACTACCATCAAGTAATGTAACATAAGAAGCAGAAGCAAGAATAGAAGAAAATTTCCGAGAGTAAGAGAGTCGAAAATCGACGCTGTTGATGCGGAGCCCATGATGAGAAATTTCCGTGTTCGGCTGGTGATGCTGTTATAAATAACGCAACCCTGTATTAGGCAACTGCGTTTCTTCCATGTAATTAAAGATATTGCTTACGTTACGCAAGATACAACTATCAGTTAATTGAATTTGTTTTTTTAAATTTTCATCTTATCATAAAAATGACTTAGAGCACAAAAGCTTGTACTGCATTGTACTGGCTGAGGGTAGCTACCCATCTCGCGACGTTTTTCGTCCATCTAGGTAAAATTGTGCTTCTGCCTGGTTTCCAGGTTCCATCGGCTGACGCTTAAAAAGTTTTGTGAACTTCGCGTAAATCAATGTCCCCGATCAAAATAGCAACAGAGGAGCGAAACAATTGCCAACTGCTGCCTTAAGTTTGCTCCTTAGGCAATCTGCAAAGTGGGAAAACGGAAAAATATGATTTGAGACAAGGGTATTACAACAGGAAACGCACGTTGTTTTTGAAAACTTAGGCTAGGTGTTATCCGTTGAAAAGGAATCATTGTACAGATCGTCCATGCGAATGTCACCAGAAAGTTTTAAGTTGAAGTTATTGGTCCCCAGGTTCACAAGCACAACACCAGGATGCAGTACAACATCAGAAACCTTTAAGGGTTTCTCGTGGCATTCATTAGAACAGACAGTTACTAGCAAATTCTAAACATTTCTTGTTGAGGCTCCTTTCGTTTTTGAAGTTAAATCTTTGGTTTCTGTTAGAATTAAAAAAATTGTTCAATTGATTATCGACAAATCTTAAGTCGAGACCCTTGATTTTCTTTTTGAATTTAAATTTTGTTTTTCTTTGGAGTTTTCCAGAGAAAACAAAACATGCCCACTTACAGAGCAATACAAGCGATTAGGTTTGCTAATCAAGTTCGTTTGTCGACAAAACATTTGATTCAAGCAGATCGTGACTGTATAAACAGACACACACTTACTTAGGTGTTCTGACATCCAAGGCATAGCGAGCTTTACAGATAATGGAAAATTCTAGGTTTGATTAAATTTCCTCGAGGTAAAGAATTTGTACTTAAAGACATATTGCTTACTTCAATTGAAGGATTCTAGACTGGACAAAGGAACATGATGTTAAACCCAATATAAGCGTAGAACAGAAATCTGTTAAGCATTGTTGCAAAAAAGTGGTGGATACTCTGAACAGCATCGCATGCAGATCTTGATTTTCATGTGGGGAACGCTCAGTTCCAGACCATATCCAAAATATTTCCAAACTTATAAAAAGATCTGAACTGCCTCAGCCAAACTTGCTGCCAGTGTACGGACTGTCTTGAAAACATAGAACGAGGATCTTCCTGTTAAATCTCTTGTATTGATCTGTTGTATCAAAAATTTAAAATGAACACCAAGGCTTCTCGAAGTGAAGTTGTTATAACAGTACACAGAAAATGCTTGATCTAGCATCCGGATTTTTGTTCCGTTTGTATGGGCTTTCGTTGAAAGAGGGGAGGGGAGAGAGGTTGAAAAAGAGAAAGCCTTTTTGAGCTCTAACAACAATGAAGAAAGTTAGAGAAGGTACACCTAGGGCCAACAAAAGACCTGTTTGATAAACAGTGACCAACAAATAAAATCCAAACATAAGTAATCCATAGTTACAAATGAGTGACTTGTCCTAATGACTTAACATTATCTTGATGATTTCCCTTCAGATAAATAACCTTGGGGCGTTCGTATTCTATCAAACCAAGCCGATATCAAGTGATATATATTAATAGTACCTTGAATAGCTATTGAGTGAAAAAGGATAATCTACTCGACGAAAAATTATTACAGTTTCAGTTTATATTAAAAAAAAAAAGATTTAAAAGTTGAGTCCAAAAAAGGTTTCAAGGCAGCATAAATATCGCTGTGCGACTCATTCTCATATTTTAGTAATCGAACTTGCTGCTTACCCTACGTTTACTCTATCAAGTAGTCGACACCACTATGTGAAAGGTCCTATCTCCACGGTCTTAAACGAAACGACATTATGAGTAAGCTGTGTTCGTGTACAAAATAGACATGTCACGTTAGACGTCACTGTGGGTATAAACTTTGGTTTAATCAGGAAAATATTATTACTAACAATATTGATCATATTAACAATTAAGGCGTTTCCATGTAAATGATACAAACGAAGGCCAAAAAACGGTCGTTAAACCCAAGAGGTGAAGTAGGACTTAATACAGCATAATAAAGAATGCTCCTTGTAGATTTAGGTTCTTAAAATACTCAGAGAGTGTTTAAATCAGCTGTAGCAAACACATAACCCAAACGTATAAATGATTACAGAGCTATCTGCAACGCTAACAATGAAGGCCAGAATAAATCAGACCAAACTTAGCCCTTCTGAGTTTGGGAAAGTACTACACAATAAGCTAAAAAAAAAAAAGGAAAACTAGATATGACTAAACCCAAGCTTATCATCTTAATAACGTGAACAACTAGGTGTTTCTGCCCTGATACATTTGCTTAGCAGTCACCATAGCAAAAATAAAAATATTCAGTATAAAAGGCAATCCGTGATCCGTGCGCTATGCCCCTGAGTCAAATATTTTTCTGTCCGGTTGAACCAAACTCAGTCAATTGGCATTTTATCAGATGACCGCTGAATGTTGCCTCAACCTAGATATATAGAATGGACTGCTTTTTCCGGCTCACGTCAACCCATCCGGTCATACACACCCCAGCTTTCACTATGGTTGCTATGGGCCTGCGTGCGCGGGGTCGAACGGGTTATATGAGAAATACGAAGTATGCACTTAATCATTGGTTAATAAATGTGAAAAAGTAAACCACTAACATAATGTTCTCCTAGCTTTTCCTGGAGTTAGACAATTTGAAAAATATTTATGCTATTTTCGTTTAATGGCGCGTATCTTATAGGGAGCTGGAAATTGTGTAAAGCTGTACAAGCCTTTCAAATAAGGAGGACAGCCATCTTTTTCAGCAATGAAGGTAAATTTCTGTAACAACCACGATATGAACAAGAACAACTCAACCTTAGCGAGGGGTTCGCCAGCACAGAACCGTCGTCCCGCCCCAAATGGGAAATAATTGCCTTGGTTAGTGATCAGTTTTCCTTCATCGTCAAGGTGACGGTAAGGGTTGAACTCAGTCGGGTTTTCCCAGCATTTGGGATCCAAGTGAACCGACTCTGTATTAGGAAACACTATTGTACCTTTAGGGACGCGGTAGCCGCAGAGAGTTGTATCATTCAAGGTACAATGAGGCACTGCAAGCGGAACCACATTTCCCAGGCGAAGCGTTTCTATGATGGTAGCGTGGATGAGGGGTAGATTGGGTCGATCATTCAAAGACGGTGTTCGGTCAACAACCACCTCATCTAATTGTCGTTGAATATCCTCTTGGTATTTTGGGTAGTTAACCAACATGGCTATTGCCCACCTCATTGTGGTACCTGTAGTTTCGTAGCCGGCGATGAACATGTCTTCTATGGTGTTAACAAAGTAATCTTCGTATAGAAATGCGGACTTTTCCCTGTCATTTACGCGTTCGGCGTCTTTTTTGGCGAGAAGAAGGCCCGAGATCAAGTCTTGAACGGGTTGTTCGGGATTAAAATTTTCCTCTCGCTCTCGCAAGAATATGCGAATGATATCGAACATTTCATAGAAAGGCTGAATGAATCGATCGTAAGCCTTAATAGGAAGGTAGTGTGTTGCAGGGATAAAGTCCAGTATTCTCACGAGCTGAGCATTCTCGTGGTCTGACATAAAGTCAGCGTTAAGCTTTAGGAGCCTGTTCAAATTTGGGTTGGTGGTGTCGTATCCTTCTCCAAAGGTGATGCCACAGATAACGTCAGCGACAGTTCGATTTAAGCTTTCTGAGGGATCAAAAGGCTTTCCCTTTAGTGCTTCCATATATTTTGTCAGTTTCTCTGCCTGTACTAATACTCGGCTTTCGATTAGAGGAATATCCGACAAGTATTGGCGTAAGGCTGTTGTAAAGAGTTTGCGATGAAGCCTCCAGCTTGGGCCATAGTGAGAAAAGACGACATCTTTCCCTCCTGAAAGATTTGTTTCAGACGCGTCAGTTTCACCCAAGGGGTAACCATATGTTCCTAAACTCTTTCCCGGCTCTCAATAAGCTGACCGCCTAATTTTTATCTGTCACAAGGGTAGTCAATGTTCAGAGCGTAAATGTTCAAAGGGAAGAATGGATAGCGTGCCAGCGAAGGTTTACATATAATTCAAAGGGTCGAAGAAAGATAATTTCTTATGTTGCAGTATACGTTAATGAATTTGAATTGAAGTTAGTGTAAAATAATGTGGAAGACCGCTTACCAAGGGTTATTGAAAACAGAGCATAAGTCTGCTGCCTTCCTGCATAATCAGCAGATTTCTTAACAAGTAGTTCATGAACGGCGTCCGGAGATGCCGCCATGACAACCTTGTAGCTTCCAAGTTTTAGGGAGAAAACTCGTCCGTACTTTTCCTTCAACCTAAAAAATAGCAAAAGAGTATTTTGGAAATTTTAATAAGATTAAATGATAGATGAAAAGTTCTGATAAAAAATCAAATTCACTTCACGATCGAATGATTTCCTCCAAAATAATAATGTTAAAAGGGGCATTCCAAAACAAATACAAACAAAGGAAGAAGGAGAAAGAGCGATGTGCTTATAACAAATGCTAAGGTACTGGGTTAGATCGGGCCGGACCGTAAAATCTTTGACTCTCGGTCACGGCGTAATTCCATGACAGGCCGAAGAGTGGGCCTTCCTACTAAATCACTAATAATATATTTTTAAGAAGTTTATGAAGTTAAATATCAGATCTAGAGCTCAGACATAACCGTATCTCGGATGATTAGCCACAACACAGAAGTCACAGATACCCAGTATTACAGACAGTTGAACAATAATTAATAGCTGAGATTTCGCTCTCCTCCGGGAACGAAGTCAGGCGATTTGCAATGAACTTATTGTAAACTGAAGGATTGGTATGGGTCAGTTACAAGACCCCGACTTCAGAGGTCATTAAGCGAAAAATCTCAACGATCTTTTAAGAGTTTGCATGGGAGGAATTTGTCGAAGAGCGTGACCTTCAATGTTTACTTGAAAAGACATTTGTTGACACTCACAATTCAAATAACCTTGAGCGACCTTTCTGTTGGAGAAATGCATAGCAACCAAAACTTTGAGCATAAATCAGCAGTAAAAGAACAAAGCGAAAAATCTTAACGATCTTTTAAGAGCTTGCATGGCAAGAATTCGTCGACGAGCGTGAGCTTGAATGTTTACTTGAAAAGACATCTGGGCTCTTACTTGGTGTAGAAGACAAAGAATACGTCAGTGTAGAATTTCATCACAACGGGGAATAAGAGAACAATGAAAACAAGAGTGTTACGTAACTGTGTCTTCTACACCACGTAAGAGCCGACATTTGTTGACACTTGCGATACAAATAACCTTGAGCGACCTTTCTGTTGGAGAAATGCTTAGCAACCAAAACTTTGAGCATGAATCAGCAGTAAAAGAATATGCGCGAGAGCAGGGAATTTAAATCACAATTGCTTTCGAAGAGATTAGTGGAGTACAATTGTTTAGGCACCCTTGAATAATCTGTGCAATGTAATCCAAATACTTATTGTGCTAAAAAACAACTTCAAATAAATGTTTCATGTCTCAGTGTTATATACCGAAAGAAAACTAGACCACCAAAATCTACCAACGTCAGCTGGCCAAATCTGACGTAAACGACATCATTATTTCCACGATCAATTTTGTGCGAAGAAATCTGAAGGTTACGGACCTTACGCAATACACAAAAAATAAAAACCTTTTTTCTAACAAGATCGCAAAAAGTAACTTCGAATTCGTCTATCCAGGAGTATACAATTCTATTTTAAAACAAACTTTAATACTCGTCTTTATTGGTTTGATTTGGAAAAGGTAAAAAAAATTGACGTACCAAAAATTGACAAAAGCAGCTCCCGAACATACTGTTATCTTAGTCAAATTTTCCTGGATTAATTAAGCTTGACCAATGCAGTCCCGACCACAATTGTTCGACTATTTATTTCAAACAGAATGCTCATTTGAAGGAACTGATTTGGGGGAAAGCCTTGTCACACTGTTCAAGTGACACTTACCCATTAAAAGCATCCGTAAGTTTCTCCGCCTTCAAATCCAACGAAAATATGTTCCCTAGAACTGGAAGCGTCGTCAAGCGTGGACCTGGTGGCATGTTCCTGAACTCATACACTACTATCAAGTAATGAAACAAAAGCAGTAGAAGCAGCAGTAGAAGAACATTCCCGAAGGTGAGGGATTCGACAATCTCTGCGATTGAAACGGAGGCCATGACTTAAAATTCTCGTGGCCAACTAACAATGCCCAATACAACCACCTTATATTAAACAATCGTGTTTCTTTTATGTAATCAAATACACTGCTTATGTTATTCAAGGTCAAGCTATCGGTCATTTGAATTCTTCATTGTCTTTGATTTACATCCAATCATAAAAAATGACTAAACAAAACACATTGTGTTGCGTAAGTATGTTTCGTAAAATTGTTATGCTGTCGGCATCGTTCTCTCTGTTGTATCGGCTGAAAGCGGAGAAGTAATCAGCAACTTTTCTCGCCGATCACGACGATGCAACACTTTAGTCTCGTTCCCAGGTTCCACTGAGCACCGATTAAAAAACTGCACGAACTTTGCACTAACCGTGGTAAACGAAAATAGTTGCGACAGCTGGGCAAAAACATTTGACAACTGCTGCCTTAATTTTGCGTCAGGAAGAGTTCTGCCAAGTACAAAAACAGAATCGCATGACCTAAGACATGGATGTCACGAGGGGAGCACCAAATTTTTACTAACGCATTCAGGGAGGTATTCCTTAAAGACGAGCCATTGTACAGATCGTCCATGCGTATGTCACCAGAAAGTTTCAGTTTCAAGTTGCGAACAATTTCTTCTTGGGGAGTGAATGGAAGGCTTGATACTTCTTATCATGTGTTAGTATCATCAATACAAATTCCATCATTTAATATGCCTCTTTGTCTAGTAGGCAATAAGCCCTTCATCTTCATGACTCAGTATATCCGTTATTCCTCAGACCCGGACAAATGTGATACCCTTCAATCGCATGCGCCGATGATAAAAACAAAGGTGGCGGCTAATCGCTTGAAAAGGGAAATCAAGGCACAGAAGCAAATGAATAGATGAATTACTATGCACAGAAGAGCTAGCAGATATGAAGAGTGCGTGAAAGCCCTGTTTAGACAATTCTCGTGAGCTAAAGGAGGTTGACAGATAAGGAAAGCGAGTCATTACAAAGAGAGATCCAGCTGACGAGGAAGTTTTACTGTACTTCCAACCAGTCTGTGAATGATATAACCCTCCAACTGAGTTTCGTGAACTGGTTTAACCCCTAGCATCAAGATTGTCCTCGAAACAGTCTAAAAGTCTTCAACAACATTCGAGTATGTTTAATAGAGACGTAGTTGGAACTACAAAATCACCTCTCCTGATAGCAAGATGAAACAGACTTGGAGGTAGAATTCACCTGCCTGGAACTGATTTTAGACCTGGCGTAACTGACTATTACTTTTTGTAAAATTTGATTGTGAATGGCCAGTATGTGACCTCTACAATAGCCGCAATAAACTGGTTTCAAGCTCATCCTTCTGGACAAGTCCTTGGGACTCCAAATTAAGTTTAGAACCAGAGGTGCTAGTTCCATCCAAATTTAAAGAATATATGGCAAATGTACTTCAGCAATTGACAACGTAGAAGGAGAAAATGTTTTAGTGGTTTGCCTCCCTTAAACGTAAGCTCCAGTGTTAGTTTTAAAATGAAATATTCGTATTAAACAATCTTTAGAACCCTAGCACACAGGCTGCTAGAGTGTCATGGTTAAGGCTTTAGAATTGGTAAATTATTTTCAATTGAGTTCCCTAGGTTTCAAAAGGATGCCAAACAGTGTTCAGGCTACCTAATAATGTGCTGCCTGTAGACAATAAAGCAACTCAGATGCACCCTCTGATACATGGGATTTTTTAGTAGACACTACTGCCTGAAAAAAATGGCAACATCATTGAAAAAAACTGCGCTTTCTACGTCTGCAAACAGCTAAACCACACAACCACACCAGCTACACGTACTCTGCAAATGATTCGTCGTCATCTATGTCAACACACACCCAAATAATAATAATTACAATATCCTTGTATCTGTTAGGGTATGGTAAAACTGTTTCTTGTGAACAGATATTGAGTACCATCTAACTACCAAATCTTAGGTAACGAGGAATCTATCAGTCTACAGTGTTAGCATAATCTCAGGAGAGAAGGCTACAAGTTAGCTCTACCTAAGTTTAATTTATTGTGGAAGAAAAAACCATTTAACTATGTTGCTGCGAACATCTGGAACAGTCTTCCCAACAAAGTTCATAACTTAGCGATTCTAAAAGAATTCCAATACAGTCTTCAGAAAAATGCTCTTTGGAATCCTTATTTCATTTCATTTTTCTTTTCACTATCACTAATAATTTCCTATTATTTTTTTATATCATATTGTTTACACACGTTTGATATGAGTTAAAAAAACAAAGAACTGTATTGTACTGTGTTGTAACACCAGTGTTACTGCCGTTACGTTGTGACTCAGGGATCGCACGCGTGATGTCACGTACGCCTTGGCGTGCCGCCTCGCAATGCGTCACGGGAAGAAAAAAATCCATGTACTCGGTGGAAAGAAATGTCTTACGGTGAAGTCGTTATTTCGGAACGTAGTTTTTACGGTTATCGTTTCTTTTACGGCGTTATAGAGGACACAAACGCAAGTTTTTAGTTCGCCCTTTTTCTTTACCAGGTTTTTCTAGTATTTATTGTTATTTACCTTTTGTTTATAGTTTTCGAAACCGTACAAATCGTACAGCTATCGTGCATCTTGTGGTACAAGTCTAATACAAGCTACGAAGAAGTTCAAGTACTCACTGTTGTAAAGGGACAAGCTCATATACCATCACTTAACTATCTTTTTTTATCGCAAGCGTTGTTCGTAATCGTCGAATCGAGTCTTGAATTCTGTGCGCGTTTCGAAGTGTGTTTTCCTGTGAGATTAAAGCAAAATGGTACAGTGTTGTTCTGTTGACTCTGGATTGCTTTAATGCACTCACAACCAGTGCCATCATCAAGTCTATCGTCACTATTGATTTGGGCCATAAATAACATGAGAGGGCCATGTTCTCATTTGGCGCGTATTTTACCAATTTAGCGAGGGGTTCCCGGTCTTCAGAGACTTTCTATGAAAAGCAGTCCATCAATACTGTTTTCTATTTCATTCCTTAGACAATCAAGAGCAAAACTACTTCTTATCATCACCACGCGATGATACGTGCCAACTTAACGATAACACTGTTGTCTCCACTGCCTCAAGTGTAGCAGTCCCAATTGCAAGTCCAGTAGCAGGAACAGCTGCAGAATCCGACTTCAATGCAGAATCTGTGGTACTTGATCCAGAAACGACACCCTCAGCTCCAGTGGCACATTCGACAGAAGTGAACCCACAATCTCATTCAGAGGAAGCACTGCCTTCAGCTGTCGTACTGTCAGTAGACGAAGATCCAGAGGAAGCTCTTGATGCTGAAATAATTGCTTGCACCGATGATGATGAAGAAAGAGATTCTGGAGTAGATGATGACAGTGACTTGAAGGAAGAATTTGTTGATAGGCTTATCCAGAAATACCTGTAACCACAGTTACTGCATGCAAGAATGTCTTTAAAAAAACTCAGCTTTTTCCACAATGGTTTTTATAACAAGTGCAAATAAATTCTTGAAGTTACTTTATTTCAGTTTACTTTATTTACTTAACTAAATAAAAACACTCAACACCTCTAATAATTTTATAGTGCCAAATGAATAGCCGAAATGTTAAAGAAAAAAGTCTCGTGGCATTACTGGGGGCATTGCCTTTTTGCGTTCTTTCCTTTTAGTTAACACTCCGTTAAAAGCCATGGGGCGTTTATTCAAGTTTTTCATTTTACACTTGAGGAAATCGAGCTAGGGCTACTTAATTTTGGGATGGACCACTAAGAATTCAAGGAAACTGGCCCGACTGGCCACCAAGCACTGGAGTTAATTTTTAGCCCTGAAGTTAATTTTTAGCCATGAACGAGACCTACAACCTTGGGGAGAGTTGTTTCACACTCATTGTGTGAAAAAAAGCGTTGGATACTTATACTGAAGCATGGAACAAAGCTTATGTGGCCCCCAGAACATCTGGGGGATGGAGGCAAAAGACTCGCTGGAAGATAGTATACGTCCCAGCATGACGTTGCTAAGTGGTAGCCAAGCACGTGACGTTACCTTAGGAACTCTCAGTGTAAATACGAGGATTACCTTGCCTGACAAACCAGACTTACATGTATGATCAGCTCTCAGATTTGCTAGCCAGATGGTTGCCTGATTATATTCAAAGTACTAAGTAGTCCATGAACCGTCTGGTTGAAACTAAACACAAGTGGCTTGGGAAAAGGAGAGTGGAGTTGGCTGCTTTTATAGCTGCCGAAAGCACGCTGTCATGTCAAAGAATGGGTTAGCTGTGGATGACAGCACTAGGATGGAGGTCAAGAGAAGGGATTTAGAGAGTGTTTTAAGAGCAGAGAGTAAATCAACACTTGAAATGCATATATTTCTTGTTGAAAACACAAAAACCCTGAACATTTTAAGGTAATAAGGAAAATGAAGAAACAACTCAAAGACCCTCACAAAGAAATCGACAGTGTAACGATGGAGAAAGAAAACTTTGATTCCTCTCAGTCAAAATCTATCGGCATTCTCATTAGCAGTTGCACCACGACTTACATAAGCCTTCCAAAAGAGGTTTCCTGTCTTTGCCAATTAAAGACAGATTCAGAAAGTACTTTCTAAAGGCCTATGTTTTATAGGCTGTGACTTTGGAGCTATAGCGTATCCATGCAAGCACTGGCAAGGAGGACATCACTGTCTCTTGCACATTGATTCAGCTTGGCCTCAAAAAAAATCAAAGTTAGAATCTGAAAATTATCATCCCCGTCCACGGCTTCCGCTTAAGTTTCCTCTTCAGTTGAAGCAAGGTATATTACAAAGAGCTCAATTGGAAAGTGGTTCTGCAATCTGTGCCAGCTATTTTTCATGGTACAAACGGATTCTCAAAAGGTGTGCAATATTTATTTGATTCTGGTTCGCAAACATTCTTTGTTAAGGTGTAGTTGTTAGTTTTGTCTTGATAGAATTCTAGTCGCTGAATTTTGGGTGATCAAGCCCACAAAAAGAATTACAATTATTTGTTGATTGTTCTGCTAATTCATCACCATGAAGGCCAAGGCATTGCTGTCGCTCCCAAAGCTCATCTCTCCCAGACTACTAGCAAGAAAAAAGAAAGGAGGCCAGAAATTATTTCCTCTTAAGAATTCCATTAAAGAGATAATTTGCACGGACAACATAAACTCTGTTTGCCCATGAAATAGTCCACAGTGAAAACCATCAGTATCAAGTCTAATCCACGTAGAAATTATAAATACAGGATGTCATAGGAAATTTGCAAAAACAGTTGACCAATTAGCCAAAGCAGCAACACATTGATCTCATCTCCAGCATAGCTTTAAGGGTCGCTCATGTGCTACCCAGTTGGTGCTTACACGCCATCAACGGACAAAAGCCTTCGATGACGGACTACAAGCGGATATCGTGTTTTTCGATTTTTCTAAGGCATTCGATAGAGTATCACATTTTATGCTTCTACAGAAGCTTTGTAGTTTTAGCATCTCTGGTAGTTTGCTAAACTGCTGTATGGATCACCTGACAGAAAAACAGCAAAGGGTTGTCATAGAAGGTCAGATTTCTACCTGGTCCGCTATTCTGTATGGTGTACCACAGGGTTCCTTATTGGGGCCATTATTCTTTATGATTTTCATCAGTGATTTAGTTGATTTTGTTATGCCCGGGAACACAATGCCTTTACATTATGACGACTATAAAACATCTAACGCGATAAATAGTCATTTAGACCAAAATGAGTTTTAGTCGGATCTGGACAATCTATATACCTGGAGTCCGCAAAATTTAATGGAATTTGATGTTAAGATGTGTAAATTGATGCGTATCACCAAGAAAAGAATGCCTCATCTCTCTGACACTAAGCTCAATAACAACATTCTAGAAGAAACTTCTGAATCCTGTGATTTTAGCCAAGCCACTAGAAACAAACTATCCTGGAATGTTCATGTTAATACAATAGCTAATAAAGCAAAGAAGATTCTTAGTCTTGGAAGGACTTGCATGATCATGATTTTGAGTTACATTTATAGTAGACGACAGTTCGCACAAGTCAATGACAAAACATCTGAACTTATTGATACCAAATTAGGAGTAGCACAGGGATCCACCTTGGGCCATGTGCTATGTTCAATGGCCAAGTTATTTGCGTTTGCAGAAATGTGAAAACATCAGAAGGCTTCGCTCAAATGCTACACCACAGCTTGCTGTACCCCTTTTAACGGGAACATTTCAAGATGCAGCAGCCAAATTATTTAATGGTCTTCCTTGTGACATTAACCTTGAAACTGACTTAAAGCCATTTCAAAGAAAAGTTTTCAAACTTCTAAAAACGAAGGCCTAGCTTAGAACGAATTAATTACATATTATATTTTTTAATAACAATTGAATTTTTGCAATAGGTATGTATGTATGGTCTTTATATGCGTATTTTTCTATTTGCACATATCTATACATTTATTTTTTTATTATTATTGTTGTTTATTAGTAACATAGTTATATCATTAGTTCATGACGAATGTAGAGCTACCCTGTAGAAAAGTTGTCATTAAACTAGGATTATTATTATTATCATGATGATGATGGTGTTGATGTTGCTATCCTTGGAGTACTGTGCCATTATCTGGCCACCACACACAAGCTCCACGAATTTCCGAAGCCATTCCTCCTTATAGCCTGCAAAATAATCCTCCAAAGATCAGAATCAAACCCCAACTAATCTCAGGAAAATACTTTTAAGGATAAGTGGAACCAGAAAAATACAACTCACACGAAATGTTGACTCTGTCAACATTCTGCCTCTCCCATTAAGCCGATGAAAAGCATTATAAACATGTAAAAACCTTTTTAAGCCACCAAATATACCAGCCTCACCAATTCATAAAGAAGGCATTGACTCTTATCATCTATCATCTTGGACCTGATGAACATGAAATTAACAATGTTATTCCTCTCGTCTCTCTGGTCAGCTGACTTTGCATTGCACCTCAACAACCATCCAGGCTCTGACACCATCCATTGCTTAATTAACACCACCATACCTTTCATTCATTAACCTAATGCGTGGTTAGGCGAAGCTTTGAAACGACTATTGTAAGGGGTTAGAATATGCAAATTTGCCACTCACTCACATGTAAACAAGTCGATATGTCAACAGCAGACCAATTGATATCGATTTTCCGAAATAATACTGGAATACGTCTACCGACTTTCCTATGGATGTTAGTAGTACTGGTGTTCAATAAATGAGAAACAATCCAGAAAGATTCATCGAAAGTAGTACAAACCATTCATGGTGAAGGTATTTAGCTAATGTGTCACAATAGGGTACATGAGCTGATGCACTTGTTATCAAAGCAACTGCAGATGTATCAAACTTGACAATCCACGTTACAGAATATAATCCAGGGTTTTCATCGGTTACAAATATCAGTCCAGTTAGCTCAGAAACTGATACTACTATTATCAAATATTGTACATATAGATATTAGATGAAACACACAATGTTAAACTGTTCCTTTTAATGAAGAGGTGATGGTAAACAATGTAATTCATAACAAGCAACCAGCATGGTTAACGACAGATCAGCATAAAACCCCAAACAATAATGAAACAAATGGAAAATCCTGATTATATCAGAGAACTGAATAGGTAGGCATTTGCCAAAAAGTAAAAGGAGTCACCTTCAGCATGTGCGAGAAGTGAACAGAATAGAAAGGATCCTTGATGTCTGGGATGAACCCATGTAACCATGACCTGCTTCAGCCAGCTACTAAAAAGACCAAGATTCTATACAAGAGATGATAATAATGACAAAAGTCATTCAAACTTTTCACGATAACATTAAGAGTGGTCCTGAATACGTATGTACTTTTTCTGATCAATTATGGTATCGGTCAAAGCAAATATCGCAAATATTCCGCAACTTTGCTTGTAACTACTACTGCTATTATAGATAATGCGAAACGGATTTGCTTTACTAGCCAATCAAACCTTAATAGGAAGCCACCAGTCTGTTCTACAGCAAACAAAATGGGATTCCCTCTGAAACCACAACGTTTAAACTTGACACCTTTAGAAGAAAGATTAATTTCTCCGCGTATTCCATTTCTGCAGATACGTGAACTCCCTAAAGGAAGGCAATTATCTAGTCATGGAAATGTTGTTCATGTACCAGCTGATGTAAATTCAACCGTTAGCACTTTACAAAGACCAATCAATGAATAACAAACTATCCCCATCAAACTTAAACGAATGTTGAGTTATGAGCATCATTATCAATTTCCGAATATTAGACCAAGAAAAGTGTTTAAAGCAGCAAATTACCTTGTTAAGCCAAGTGAATTGTTTCAAATTGAGCCTACAGAAGTTCAGGAAAATTGGCTTGATAATCCCGATACTAGAGCTAATGATGCTCTTGCAAATCAGAGTAATGAATGGAAAGAATTCCTCAGTAATTCACTTTCAAGCTCTGGTAATGCTGAAATATATTCAACTGATCCTGTACCTGAAATTACTAGGGAGTTTTAGATCCAGGTTTGTTTCTGAATACGACCGCAACTTCGAGCTAGGAAGTTACAGGTAGTTGAGCTTCCTCGACGCTTTTTGTCTTCCTGGCCGAAAGTTCTCACATGTGTCCTATAATTATGGGTGAAGTGAGGTCTTTTCTTTATAACCATTCCGTTTGGGACGCTAGAAAACCAATTTTTAGCCTTATTTTGTGTTTGAAATAAAGGACCTCTATCCTTTGTGCAATTCAAGATGGCGCGCACATGTTAATTTTTTTCAAGTGAAATCCGACGTCGATCTGAAAAGCTAAAAGTCTTGAAACTGTGTAAATGGCCACAGTGGCATGATCTGTGTCTGAGGAAGATTTCGGTTTGACTATCACTTCAGTATCAGCAGGAGAGGGTTGTGTAGAATTCCAGTGGAAAAGAGAGGAATTCAATTCCAGAACATGGAAAAGGTTTTCAAATAAGGAACAGTAGATGATCCATTAACCGTGCTTAATGAGAAACTGCCACCTTTTAAAACATATTTATATCGAGAGGCAACAATCAAAATAGTTTGAGATCAAATTGAACACCTTTTGGCAGACCAAGCAGAAGTGCAAGTTAGTGCAGGGGAAAGACATATTTCTCTGTGTGCACAACAAAAGAATGGAATGACCTTAATACTACTCTAAAAACAGTATGGTCACTGGTAAAACTTAAATGTCATAAGTTTAAGAATATCCTTGAGAAACAGAAACAAATTGATCACTTTTGCTCTACGAAGCATAATGCAACTATAAAATTTCAATTTGAATTATTCTTAATATTTTTTAACAACAGTTTTATCCATGCATTTCTATATTAACATTTTGCTTAAATATCTTTCTCTTCCCGTCATTGGCTAATCTTCTGTGCCGGCATTCTCTGTTGGTTCTGTACACACATCTACCATTTCACCGGGGATCCTTCTTCTCTAAACAGGCCTTTTGCGGTTGGCCCAGGTTATTCTCCCATCGCAAAGAAACTGGTTACCAAGATCAAGTTGGGGCAATTTGTTGGTATGGCCGACCTACTCGCGAAAAACTTTAAGGCCCAGGAAACGGAGCCGCAAAAATATCTTGACGGCAAACCTTTGGTAAGTTCATCCAAGAAAAGGATAAAGATCACCAACATTTTCAAAAAAGAGAAGTTACAAACACTGAAGAGAGGGACCAAGCTGTGCAGTCTATTAAAACTGAGATTCTAGTTGGATTCTTCCACTGCTTGAAGCTGCCCTATGAGGAAAGGCACCAGTCTTGTCCAGCAAATTCATGGTCTAAACTCAAGAAAGGGCTTCCTTGCCCTAACAAGCCACACCATCTTGACATGGAACATCTTGTCAAGATTTACGAAAGGGTCACAGATTCTGCCCTTCTTGCCAGATGTTTTCCTGGTTATACTCAGAATGCTTATGAGCCCATCAACCCCCCACGAATGGAACAAATGTCCCATACACAAGTGGCACGGAAAAAGGAGAGTGCAGTTGGCTGCTTCATCAGCTGCCTTACGTTTCAGTGGCAGTGCCTCCGCAAAGGCATGCTGTCATAAAGAAGGTTGGGCACCTCGTGAGTGACAGTGCCAAGATGGAAGCAAGGAGAAGGGATTCAGAGATAGTTAAACAGGCAGAGAAGAAAGTACAACATCAGCACAAGAAATACAGAGTTAACGGGAGAAAAGCTAAACAGCGCAATTAAGATCTGAGGATCCGTGGCGAGGGTGTGAAATATGCAGCTGAGGCTTTCGGGGAAATAGAACATTGCAATGAACCCAAAAAGAAGAAAAAGACTAAGTAGACCAAGAAATAACTTTGGGCATATTTGTTTCAAAATGTTTCTCCCAACATACTGTGTTTTTACGTTATTAAGCCAACTTGAACTCATATTTCCATACATTGTTTCCTTTCAATTACATTTCCTGCAAATTTGGATTTTTCGTGAAAATCTGGGTGCCCCCTCAAATTTGCTCAGGATGTATTTCTGAAAACATCACCAAATTTGCAACAAATATATTTGAGACATCCCATACTACAAACCTATTGAGCAAAATTCAGTTTGACTGAAAAGTATCAGAGTTTTGAGGAGTTAAGAGTCAATGTCAGTAAGAATCGGAGATAATCCCAAAATCACGGACACAGCTCAAAATTCGTTTTCGCTGATACTTTTTACATTGATAGAGTATTGTATCGTAGTTAACAAAATAGGGTTAGTTTTGTCTAATTTTTGCGTTCACAAGGGGAATTAAATAAAATCGGTTGGGTCCGTTTTGCACCAAAATGACCTCTCTGATGAACCGAAATTTTACAATATTCGTGACTCTTTCAAGTTTGCGGGGTAAAGCCTATAAATGATTTCTTACTATGAATAAATAGCTTGTCCCTTGGTCAATTAAATATTGTCTATAATGACTGATAATTTATTTTATATGACTCGTAGAAAGCTTTTCGTTGAAGGCAGTTCGTTGCCTTTTCTGAATCGCTCTAAAGTGACATAAAAGACTTGCCTAAAAATCCGGTCGGTACGCCAAAATATATCCTCAGACTAAGCTTTCTCTACAGTTTAAGGATAGATGTTTTATGTTTCATTTTCATTTCTTTGGGATCTTTTTTAGTTTTTCGATACGACTGCCCCGAAGATTGCTAATTTGCAAGATTTTTCGATGACCGCCATATTGAAACTGCGAGAAAGTACCGTACAAAAATCGTATTACTTTTGGATTAATTGAGTCTAAGAGATTTAGCTTGGTATATCACTAAGTCGCTGCCCTTATGTTATTTTTAAAGTTAACGGCAGTTTGGCAGTGGCTTATAGGATTGAGACTCCATGCATGATATCGTGACATTGATTTCCTACACGTCACGCACCGACCTTTGACACCGTTATTAGACTTCACATAACTTCGAACAACGTATGAGCGATTTCCGCTTTGAAATCCTCCGCTATATATTCCGTTTCCTTTAGAGGAAAGGACTTCACGAACTCTTTTTTTTTTGGACCGCACGAAGCCATTATGCAAATACAGAACACCTGTGTAAATAGTACATCGCGACTTCGCGGTTGTCAACACGGCATTTAAACTGAAATAATAAAAAATCTATGGCTAAAGATCCCTTCAAAACCGAGAAAACTTTGATTTGGACTGGTGTAAAGTCCCTTAAAATGAAAATTGGGATTGGGACTGGCATAAACAAGATGCATCAAAAATATATTCACGTTTGCAGCACTTGATAATTGAATTACTTTGGCGTACTTACAACCAGTATTGTGTTATCATTGTTTCAGTCTACAAGTCTCTCTCCAAAAAACTAATTTTCACCGTAAATTTCTCAAGGAAGTAAAATAGCGCCGAGTTAATCGTTAAACGTAAACGTTGACTTACAATATTGAACGATGGCGTGTACCTTCTCACTTTTGGTCGGTGGAGAATGCGGGGCTGATCCAAAGTCAAAGACTGCGTCGCGTAAAATCGTACCCTTGGTATCAAGCTCAAAGAATATATCGAGCCACAAAAAACAGCTTCAATTCAGTGGCTGCGAAACGGAAACTGAGCTTATTCTAGCCCGCAGTGGTTGTTTCCAAACGCCAGAAAATATCCACGACATGACTATCTGTCCGCTGCACCGCGTTAGTTTGGGTATTGGGTGGCGAAGGTCTAAGCGGGTATGCAGTGTTCCAGGCAAACTCTCTGGACACAGTGAAGAATCCAAGAAAAATGCCGAGCGGGGTTGTAGCTTGGCTCAGTCGAAGTACATATTGGAAGCCACTGGTAATTTCATTCCAGTTGGTTCAGGTAAATACAATCCTTCTTCTTTTGTAATACTTGCGGGAGTAAAACATTTGTTTATAACGTATGACGTCATATAACACATCAAACATATCTCTGCCGTCGTTAAAATGGTGAGTCAGTTCAGTTAGCTTGGCCTTGCCCGTTTTATTGGAATGGTTCGGCTAATACCTTGGTTCCCTTTAAAATTTCCGTTTTGTTAATATATGAAGCCGGACTGACCCACTTGCAGAAATCTCTCCTCAAGGCAACCAGTATCTCGTCAGCCTGGTCTCTCATATAAACATAGCAAAAATTTTATAAGGACACGGGGTATAAGCCGAGCCAGCCGGATAAAGCAGGCAAGCTGGGCTAATCGGGCTGGCTCACTACACATAAACAGGCCTTAAACCCTATGTTCACACTATGCAAGATATCTTTGTTCCGGCAAGAAAACCAAACCCGGGATAGGGCTTTTGTTCACACTCAAGAACTGTGATTTCGGCGCCATTTCTGGAAAGGATCCAAGCTGCGCCTTACCGATTTCGAAGGGTAGCCTCGCATATAGTCTACGTAGTGGCGGTTTTTTGATGTGTGTTTTTTTTCTTCTTTTGTGGTTCGCAAAGTAAGAATTACAGCCCAGCGATACGCTGAACCAAGGTCCAAAAAGAAAACGATGAGAGAGGGGCGTGTGTAAAAATGATAAATGGTGTAGCAAGAAATCAGAAATGCAAGTGCGGGTGAGAAAATATAAAAAGAGTGGGTTAACATTTTTGTAATTTTTTATATTTTTTTTTAGCGATTTGTACTAAGTGTCGAAAGAACCTGACGAAACAAGCAAATACCCCTGAAAGCAGTCTGCCACAATCAGATTTTGACGAACTTACAGAGCATCTAGGTGAGCTTACTCTGGTAAGTAAGTAAGTAAGACATTCTATGATTTATGTCTACAAACTACAAAGATCTTTCCTTGTAATATTAGAAACCGTACGCAGCTAGTTTGAATCCAATTTTGAGTACGTTCAAACTGTTTTATGTTTGTACTGACAACAACGAAACTGGAAGAAGAAGTATTTTGGGGTCTTACTTCAGACTTTTTAATTTTTTTTTTTTTAATTTTGTGAAATTTTAGGCAGAAACTGCAGCAGCCCAAGTAATTCATGTTGATGAAAGAAGAGAGAGTATATTCATCCCAGAATCGGATTTGGAAGGTTCTGATTTTGAGAACACACCGCATAGAAGCCAAGTAGACGCGGCAAAAAGCCTTTAAAAAAGTTAAACGATTTTTTAGCCTCTCGTGATGTTAGCCCTGTTCGACATAAGTTGTCCGTTCCAGGGGAAAGTGCTAACGAGCGCACAAAGAGAAGGTACCGCCGTAAAGCAAAACAAAGTGTTCAAGAGGTTCTTGAAGTAATTGCTCCAGGACAAAGTGATAAATTATTGACCACATTAGGTGAAAGCTTACCATCTGAGAGAATACAAGCCGAAGAAGAAATTTTACAAGCCTTAGCAGAAAGCTATTTAAACGCAACTCACTGGAGCACGAGAAGACAAATTTTGTCCATCTTGGCAGATAAACTATCGCTTAAGGAACTGACACATTACATTCCCGGGGTGACGCCTTACAGATTTAACATCGCGCGGCATCATAGACTGTTACATGGTAGAGGTGCGATCGTACCTACTGATATCACTAGGCGTATGAAGGTTGATTTCGCCAAAGTTGATCATTTTCTCGACTTTATTACAAGTTCTCATATTGTACAAGACATGCCATTTGGAGAAAAGATGCTGAAACTTTCAACAGGGGAGGTGATTAAAACACCTAATGTCGTACGGATGCTAATACCAGAACGGATAACACAACAGTATTTTCAGTTTTGTACCGAGACCAATTTCACTCCGATGAGCAAGCGCACACAACTCCGAGTACTAGACGTTTGCTCTGCGTCAGTGCGCACCTCTCTGCAGGGCTTGGATAACTTCTCTGCACAAGGCAGTAAGGCAATAGAAGATCTTAGCGAGATAGTAGACAAGATAGCAGATCAAGCAAAGTCACAAGCCAGGGCCAAGGAAATGAAACAAACACTTCGGTCTGCCAAACAATATCTGCGGTCTGATTACAAGGTAAGGCTATCTTAATATTTGGTTATTCTTTTAGTAGATTATTAACTTTGTACTTTGGCTGGATTAACGCTAAATTTAAGCGAATTGGTCATAAACGTGAAAGTAAACTTTCTCTGGCTGCATTGTACTAACTAGTATTGAGGCTAAACCTCGAAACATTGATTAAGCGGAAGCTATCTTCACTTTGCGCCCTTTAAGCGGTTCGGACAAGCTTTAATAAGTTTCAAACTTCTTTTACCACTTTTAAAAGATTTTACCCTAAAGCAGCTGATATTAATAACGAAAAATCATAGTAAAAATTATGATGATAGTGATAACTATGATGATGACGACGATAATAACCTTTCACATTTTAGGTGCACGTTACAATGGAATCAGAAGTTGCAGATCACTGTTTAACGTTTTCCCTAAGTGATCCTAAAAATAGCTGTTTTCAAGGAAAGTGTAACCATAACCACGATGAGGTCTGCTACGAATGCAATCAATTAACCGGGGTTCTGTCTACCATAAAAGAAGCGTGCGCAGAACTTCAGTCTGAAGAAGAAAGAGATGACAGTATCTGTTTAGTGGCTCAAGCTGAAAAGGACATTTTGGCATGGAAAGCTCACCAACTCCGAACAGTTAACCAGGATCAAGCAAAACATGACGTGTTAGATGTCATATTTCGGAGTTCAGCATTATTAGTTATGGACTGGGCGATGAAATTCTTACCGCGAAAGTTTCGCGAATCACAGTGTGACTGGTTCGCCAAACGTGGTATTCCATGGCACATCACAGTGGCTTTTACAAGATCAGAAGCAAATGCCCCGCTTGGGAAGCTCACTTTTGTCCACCTGTTTCAGAGTTGCCCTCAGGATAGCGTTGCAGTAACCGCCATTTTACAAGATGTTATCGAGATGTTAAAGGAGCGTCGGCCACAACTGCAAAAAGTGTATTGCAAACAGGACAACGCAGGATGTTATCATTGTGGGTCAACAGTTGTAGGAAGCAGGTTGAACAGTCTTTCTGATGTCAAGGTGGAGAGGTTCGACTTTTTAGATCCACAAGGGGGCAAGGGAGAAGCCGACCGCCAGGCCGCAACAATTAAAGGACATATCAATGTGTACTTAAACGAGGGGCACGATGTGAACAACGCTGCACAGATGAAAGAAGCCATTGAATCAAATGGCGGTATTCCTGGCGTTATTGTGAAGTATGTGAAGCCTCCCGAACTATCTGCTGGCAAAAACGTGGTCAAATGGGACGGAATTAGTACGCTTAATAACTTCCAGTTTTGTCCAAATGGTATCACAACATGGAAGGCTTACAACATCGGGCCCGGAAAGCTGGTACCATGGAAGGACATTCAAACCGATGGTATCTTTCCTGCTACACTTGAAGTTTTGGAGCCTCCTGATACCCGCTCTCAGCAGTCAAGCTTTAGAAAAATCAATCCTAGAAAGGAAGTGCAGCAAAAATCTTTGTCCGAACAACGGCTGAGTAGTCCTGACCAGCAAGAGACAGCAGGACAAGACATGGATGTAGAAAAAGAGAAAGAGGAAGTAAGCGGCCTTTTTACCTGCCCAGAAGATGGGTGTATTCAGACATTCCAGCGGTCCTCAAGTGTTACTGCCGTTATGCGTGATGTCACGCACTCATTAGCTAGATCCCGAGAGGCGCTGCGAGTTAAAAAAATACATGTGCTCGATCGAAGTGGAGAATCGTTTCAACGCCCGTTTAACGTCATCGTTTATATTATAAGGACACAAACTTTTCGAAACCGTACAACGTTCGTTCAAGATTGTAAAGTCCATTTCATAATTACAAGTACGCGTGTTCAAGTTTGTGTTGTCGTACCGTTTTATGCGTGCACATTTCGTTTCGAAAAGTTTCACCCTCATCGCATACTGGTTTATTGGAACTTATCCTACGTTTATTTGCAATGTTGGGCGAACTGTTCGCCACTCATCGCTAATTTGAAGCGACTACCGAAGGATTAATTAGTGCCTAGTCCACCATGAACGATGAACCTGTCGCTGAGGGCGCTGGGCCTGGGTTTCCTCCGAACGAAAGCTGTCCCGATACTCGTGTAAGGAAATTAACTGAAAAGGGTCAAGAAGAGAAATTAAGGCGACTGAAAAACGATCAAACTGCCAAAACGACTGCTGTGACAAAGCAAAGGAATGCTCTCACAAACTTAATGGAAGATGAGAACAATCTTCATTTAGTGAAATCAGAGGTTATTGTATTGAACACATTATTCAAGGAGTATCAAGAAGCACGTGACCTTTATTATTGCCAGTTGACCTCCGAACAGGATCAAGACAGGGAACTTGATCGCTATGAAAGTAAGGAGAAGTCATTTTTGGAATTTAGGAAACAGGTTATGGAATGGATGAATGTAGCAGAACGTCGCTTAACAGAAGAACTTGATCTGCTCTCAGAAGTAAAATCGGCTTCATCCAAATCGTCCCGTGTTAGCACCCGTTCGAAGAAGTCTTCAGCCAGCTCAACGCCATCTGCACGAGCAAAGGAGAAACTTAAGCTAGCGGAATTACAAGCTGAAAAACAAATGCTAGAACGCAAACAAGCTCTACGAGCAGCAGATGAAGCCTTGAAACTGGAAACTGAAATAGCGAAAGCCCAGGCCAGAGAAAGGGTTTATGCCGATTTGGAAAATGATGGTAACCTAGAAAATAAGGATGGTATTGTTCCCTGTCTCCAGCAAAGTGAACCTAAATTCATGGCTTCAACACCTGCCGCTCATCTCAACCCTGCTGCCCCAGAGTTTCACTCAAACAGTCTAGCTGGCGAGATATCGCCTCCGGCTAACAACGGGACCACTGATGTACCACAAGGAATTATCGCTGCAGCTGATGATCCCTATCGATTGGAACCCCATGAAAGGTCTTTCAAAGAAGTGATGGCCATGCAGCGACAGCAAAATGAGCAAATGATTGCAACCCATCGGCAACTGGCTGCAGCAATGACTCTGCCTCAACCTGAAGTGCACAAGTTTAAAGGAGACCCCATCGAATATGGAACCTTTATCATGGCATTCAAGGCAAGGATAGAGTCCAGAACATTCAGGGCGGCAGATTGCTTATACTACCTGGAACAACATCTTGAAAGGGAACCACGAGAACTTATTGGAGGCTGTCTGCATATGGACCCTTCTGAAGGATATAAGGAGGCGAGGAGGTTACTGGAGAAGGAATATGGGGATCCCTTTAAAGTTTCAATGGCCTATGTGAACAAAGCTCTCGGATGGTCCCCAGTTTGGCCAGATGACGCATCAGGACTAAAGCGTTTATCGCTTTTCTTGATTAAGTGTAAAAATGCTATGATGAGCGTGTCTCATATGAATGAGTTAAATCATCCTACGAACCTGCAGACCATTGCAAAAAAGCTTCCCTCGCATCTCCAGTCAAGATGGCGTGATCGTGCTGCGAAATTGAAAGAGAACGGAAGGATAGCGAGCTTTAAGGATCTCGCTGATTTTGTGGTGTCAGCAGTCGAATCAGCGAACGACCCTGTATTAGGCGTGCAGGCTTTAAGTAGTACCCAGGAAAGGCGCAGAGATAACAGTGGGAGAGATGGCAAGAAGAAGCCCTCGTCAGCAACTAAAACAAGCAACAGTTTTGCCACTGGTATCACCATTCCCGGCATAGAGGCTGTAAACCATGCGAACCGAAACAATGCTGGTGGCAAGGAAAAGTTGTGCCCCTTCTGCAGCAAGAACCATGACCTGGATGATTGTGCGGAATTCCTCAAAAGGACCATGGATGAAAGGAAGACATTTCTTTACGAAAGAAAATTATGCTTTGCCTGTTACGAATCTGATCATGTATCCAAAGGTTGTGTAAAGAGACGCACCTGCAAGAAGTGCAAGAAACGGCACCCAACAGCATTGCACATTGATGGTTTCACAATGAATAGAGAGAGCGTCAGTAACAAACCCCAAGCGACGGAAGTTCAATCTATTTAGCGGTTAGCAATAGGCGCATTGATGTCTCTAAACCTGTACAGGACGCACCAAGTTGCAAGGAGTCCGTAGTGCTACATGCCATACTCCCAGTTAAAGTTAAACAGAAGGGCTGTAACAATTCAGTTGTCACGTACGCGTTTTACGATAATGGTAGTGGCGGCTGTTTTGCAACCGAAAATATCAGGAGACAGTTAGGAATAGACGGTGTCAAGGTTATGCTACAACTCACCACCATGCATGGACAGAGTCAAGTGGAAAGCATCATTCTGGACGATCTTATCGTTACGAGCCTAGATGATGAGAATCCCATTGAGTTGCCTCGCTCATACACAAGAGATGAAATCCCAGCAGAACATCACCAAATTCCCACGCCCAGTCTCATAAATCAGTGGTCACACCTTTCCGAGGTTGCGAAAAAAAATCCCTGAGCTTGAGCCTCGCCTGGAGATTGGACTACTCATTGGCAGCAATTGCCCGCCTGCCTTAGAACCATTAGAAGTTGTACCTTGTCGAAGCGATGGCCCATTTGCCCTCCGTCTCCGCCATGGTTGGACAGTCTGTGGACCTCTCCATATCCGAACTGATCATGACAAGGACAAAATAATCGCGAACCGAATTACAGTGAGAGAAGTGGAAACGCCGAAGGAAATCATTGCTCCAACGTCATTGCTCAGAATGTTGCAGATGGACTTCAACGATCACACCGTAAGCAAAGCACCGGACGAGCGTGGGCCTTCTCAAGAAGACAGAAAGTTTTTAACTATGGTTGAAAGGGAGACGAAAGTTGTCGACGGCCACTACCAAGTTCCTCTTCCATTGCGACATAGCGATATTATCATGCCCAACAATAAGGAGCAAGCAATCAAAAGAGCAAACTGGCAGAAGAAAAAGATGTTGAGAGATTCTAAATACCGCTCTGATTACGTTTCCTTCGTAAACGATGTCATCGCCAAAGGGTATGCACAAAGAGTTCCAAATGAGTTGCTGATACCGAACCCAGGCAAGGTGTGGTATCTACCCCATCATGGGGTGTATCACCCGAAAAAACCAGAAAAAATACGCGTCGTATTTGACTGTAGTTCAAAGTTTCAGGGCGTGTCGCTCAATGACTGTCTGATGCAAGGTCCAGATATGACAAACTCCCTAGTAGGCGTGCTAACCAGATTTCGTGAAGACCCCGTAGCCTTCATGGGAGATGTGGAATCCATGTTCCACCAGGTTACAGTTCCTCCTGAACAGTATGATTACCTCCGTTTCTTATGGTGGCCAGATGGCAATCTAGAAGCCGAGCTACAAGAGTATCGGATGGTTGTACATTTATTTGGAGCGGCCTCGTCGCCAAGTGTCGCTAACTTTGCCCTTAAGCGAACCGCAAGGGATAACGAAGATAAGTACGGTACCTTGGTTGCTGACACGCTGCGAAATAACTTTTATGTGGACGATTGTCTACGTTCCGTAAGCTCGGAAGGTAAAGCAGTCGAGCTGATTGAAGGTCTTCGGCAATCCTGTAAGAAAGGTGGATTCCGCCTCACCAAATTCACTTCCAATAGTCGTGCAGTTTTAGAGTCTATACCAGAGGATGAGCGATCGAAAGAAGTCAGATCAATAACTCTTGACTGTGACAACCTCCCTATCGAGCGTGCCTTAGGGATGCAGTGGTGCGTACAATCAGATTGTTTTGGATTTCGAATCGTCATTAACAGCAAACCGTTTACAAGACGAGGAGTCATGTCCACCATCTCATCAATCTTTGATCCCCTGGGCTTCATCGCTCCTTTCACACTTCTAGCGAAGAAGCTGTTACAGGATCTCTGCCGCAATGAAGATCTCGACTGGGATGACGACATTCCGGAAGACTGCCGCAGTAAATGGCTAAGATGGTGTGGAGAGCTTCCGTTACTAGAGCAATTTCACATTGATCGGTGTCACAAACCGCCGGGTTTTGGCCCAGTTGTCTCCAGACAGCTCCATCTGTTCTCCGATGCAAGCCAGGTGGTATGGATGCGTTGCCTACCTACGTCTAATGGATAACATGGGTCGCATACATTGTTCCTTTTTAATGGGGAAGGCTCGTCTTGCACCTATTAAGGCCGTAACAGTCCCACGCTTAGAATTAACTGCAGCAACCGTATCTGTTCGCGTGGGACAAATGCTGTATGAAGAGCTTGAAGTTAAGCCTGAGTCTATCATCTATCACACCGACTCGACGACGGTTCTCCGCTACATAAGAAACGAGCGGAGGAGGTTTCAGATATTCGTGGCAAATCGTGTGCAATTGATCAGGGACTTCACTAGTCCTATGCGGTGGAAATACGTGGACACCAGTAGCAATCCGGCAGATGATGCCTCAAGAGGACTTTCCGCCGCTGG